TTTTCCTTCCTATCTTCTCTCTAATCTGTCATCTTCCTCCCCTACTCCCCTCCCTCCCAAAAAAATCCTGCATACAGGAAAGAAGGTGGAAAGTTTGGCTTTGCAGAGTCTATAGCAAATCAAAGGATCACAGCATTTAAAATGGAAAAGGCCCCTATTGATACCTCAGATGTAGAGGAAAAAGCAGAAGAAATCATTGCTGAAGCTGAACCTCCTTCAGAAGTGTATCTTTATTGGGTGGTATTGACAGTAGCAACGTTTTTCCTTTGAAAAGTTATTCTATAATATTGATGTCATGGTCAAATACTTTATATACTATTGTACATTGTTCTCCAAATTATTCATTCATTCACTAAATTTAGTACTGTAACTAAAAGGTTGAAAGCCTGTCTCTTGATATTTCTTACCATTAATTGCATCCATAAAATCTTGCCTGGGTCATAAATTCAATTTTTCTTTCTTCTTCATTGTTCAGCCATCCATAATATAGCTATATTAAATTTTTTTCTAAGAATTTGAGGCACACTTGAATCACTCTTACAAGAAGAAAAATTTAATTCTCATTCTTTTTCAACAGTCCATCAAATAGCAGCATTTTTGTTACTCAGTTTCCTTAATTTGTTAAGTGTATCTAAACCTGTGTTATGGACGACTGGAACTGCCCAAATTGGAGAGGGGATAGAAAACTTCTGGGGAGATCTTGAAGACTCTGGGAAGGAAGATGAGGATGAAGGTGGCAGTGATGAAGCTATCATTCTTGATAGTATAAAAATGGACACTGGAGTAGAAGTTCCCAATATTGGAAGCCAAGGTAGGTGATACTTTATGCCTTTTATGTGATGTAGGTGTCTATATACGGGATACATAGCTACCTATATTATATATAGATTATATATTATAGATAGCTATATATATTAATATGTATATATTAATATATGTATATATTAATATGAACTATAGATATATAGCTACCTATATATAGAGGAAATATATATATATATATATATATATATACAGGAATATATGTATCCTTTTTTTAGAGAGGCTGAATATATTGTGATTTAAATTTCAACTAATTATTGAGGCTAACTGCAATATTACCACCAATTCTTTTCTAAAAGAATATGCTTATCTTTGTGGAGTAGTAGTATACTTCAGCATGTAAATAATAGCAACATTTTTGATCAAAAAAATTTTTCTGTTTTTCTTCTGTATATATGTGGCCAGTTTTAAGGGGATGAGTTTCTTGAAGATCTCATTTCTCCATGCTGTCTTTTTTTGTATCATTATCATTTCTAGACTGATATAAAAAGCCCATATCATAACGTAGAATACTACTGTCTAAATAAAACTTTTTGCAATGATAGAAACATTCTGTGTCTACACTGCCTGATATAGCAGCCACTTGTTACATGTAGCAATTGAAAACGTAAAATGTGGTTTGTGTGACTGAGGAACTGAATTTTAAATTTTATTTAACTTTAGTTAACATAAAATTAAATAGCCACATGCGGCTATGGCTACCCTATTAGATAGGATGGTATTAGGACATAAATTTCTAGAAGTGACTGGAATACCAGTTGTCCTAGATGCTCCTTGCATTCTGAAAGCAGTAGAAATAAAGACATTGTTGATTTTGCCAATGGACATTTTTACTTTTCAAAAAACCAAATTCTTGGCTGGGAGCTGTGGCTCATGCCTGTAATCCTAGCAGTCTGGGAGGCCGAGGTGAGAGGATCGCTCAAGGTCAGGAAGTTCAAAACCAGCCTGAGCAAGAGCGAGACCCTGTCTCTACTAAAAATAGAAATTAATTGGCCAACTAAAAATATATAGAAAAAATTAGCTGGGCATGGTGGTGCATGCCAGTAGTCCCAGCTATTCGTGAGGGTGAGGCAGAAGGATTGCTTGAGCCCAGGAGTTTGAGGTTGCTGTGAGCTAGGCTGACGCCAGGGCACTTGCTCTAGCCCGGAGAACAGGGTGAGACTCTGTCTCAAAAAAAAAAAAAAAACAAATTCTTGCCTGGTCCATATAATAAAATAACGAATTTTTTTTTTTAATGTAAGAAAAACAAATCATACAAGGATCTAGAAACTAGACTGGCAGGGAACTAGAGGATGCACTCATTAAATCTGGTTAAGGAAACAGTGAAGGTGGTACTGTTTAGGAGTGAATGCACATATCACCTGCCTTCAAGGAAGAAACTCTTGCTTATTATGAACACTACTGAGAGCCTGTTGGGTTTTTTGATGTTGTTTGCTTTTATAATTACTCAGCTAAATAGATAAGGGGGGAAAATCCCCATTGACTGGGACCTTTATTCAGTTTTCCAAGGAGTGATTACTTACTTCTATGTGGTATTATTCTTCCATTATTTGTTCCATGTATTTATTCACTATATATGCAATAATGTATGCACATAATAGTATGTGCTGCGATGTAAGCTGCTTAAAAACAGGGACTTATCTTTAGTTTTCCCAAGGCAGTAGATGTAGATCAGCCACTTTCTTTTTAAATGCTGCATAACTTCTATAGCATTGATTGAATGTAACTAGTTTGTTTAACCATTCCCTTATTGTTGAATATGTAACTTGTTTTTTTCACTGTTAAAATGCTAATGTGCAGAGGATGTGGTGGAGGGGATAAGGTAGAAGAGACGCTGAGAGCTGAGTGGCACAGGTGCCCTCAGAAGGGGCCAGAGATACTCAAGCTCTCCTGGGGGGAGGGGCTGCTCACCACCTTCTTAAGAGTCAGGGCCAAAGCCACTGATTCATATTTGACAGCAACACTGCACTGCTCAACCACCAGCCAGAGGGGTATTTTTTTTATTCCCTGTTGCATTATAATTACTGCTTATTAAGGAAAATTTGGGAATTTTACAAAGAATCACCCAACTGCTACCACTGTTAATCTTTTGGTGTTAAATGTTCCTCTAGACATTTCTGTGCATAGATTTTTGGTGTGTTTACACAGTTGTTATTCTGTATATACAATTTTATGTCCCTTTTGTACTTAACATATAAACATTTTTTTCATGTTAAAAAAAAATGCTAATGTGCATATACCGCTTTATATATTTGTTTAGTATTCTAAGAACTGGTTAATAGCTAGACATTCTATTGCTGGTTTAAAGAGCACAATTTTCAACTAAATAATGAAGGTGGACATAAGATGGAGCAGGTAAAGCCTTTCTAAAGCATGTGAACAAAGGGAGAAAACAATTGAAAACCAAAAACAGAGAATTGACATATAACCAACTGGGAAAAGTGTTAATTCACTTTATGTATCATTAGTGACAGGAGAAAAATGGGCAAAAGATAAAAAAAGCAGTTCTCAAAGAAAATCAAGTGGCAATATTTTTCATGTCAACCCTGGTAGTAATAAAAAGTAAATTCAAAGAAAAATTAAATGGCATTTTGGACTCTTACTCAGCAATATTAAAAACACCAACATTGGTAAGGTTATATGGGAAACTATTTCTAGAGAGATGTGGTAAAAGTATCTTACAATGTATGTGCCTTTTGACTCAACAATTCTGTTTCTAAGAATTTTTTCCCAGTGTTTTTAATTGGGAGAAAGTAAAAAAACCAAATTCTAAGGTAAACTGTGGTGCGTTCTTACCAAGTAGCACAAAATTGGCATATTGACTTCAAATCATTTCCAAATTGGTTCTACAAAAGATGCCACATGGACTTTCCCCCTAACTTTTAGGTATGACGTATATCAAGTGGTTATACAGTTAAAGAATCTTTATGAAATAAAAGTTAAAGAAACATTGAATTTTTACAGAAGAGTTTTTTAGAGTTGGTAAGAAAGGAAACTGTTTCAGAGAGAAAGGTAGGGAAAGAACAAGTATATTTATAAGCCTCCACACAAACAGTAGCTTGGGCTATCTATGTTAGCATGGAAATGGGAGTTTTAGAATCTCTGACATAAACTCATGTGGATTTGTTTCCCAAGAGATTGCTTATATTTAACATGTTTGTTTTTTTTTTAAGATGCCCCTATAGTACTCTCAGATAGTGAAGAAGAAGAAATGATCATTTTAGAACCAGACAAGAATCCGAAGAAAATAAGGTAACAAATTTCTGGTTATTTCAAATATATACATAAACTTTTGGAGGCTTGCTCTCAGGCTTTCTTTTTATTTACTACTATAAACAAAAAGATGCCCCCTTTTTCATTAGATATCCAGCTGTTCTTTCAATGATTTATAAAAATAAGACCTAGTTCGTATAAACTCTTTGGATACCTTTCAGAGTTACTGTATTTTACTTTCAGAGTAGGAGAAAGTAAGGCCTATTTCAGTGATATAAATTTTAACATACTGTTAGTAAACTGTTACTTTATTCACAGAACACAGACCATCAGTGCAAAGCAAGAAAAAGCACCAAGTAAAAAGCCAGTGAAAAAGAGAAAAAAAAAGAGAGCTGCTAATTAAAGCTAACATAGTTGTATATTTGTATATATAACTATTAAAAGGATATTTATTCAGTGCTGACAACCCTGGGTATGTTTTATTCATAAATCCATTATAAAATCTTAGTGGCCTTTTAAAAATAGGGTGTTTTTGTTTTTACATTATGCTTTAAAATAAACCTTCTGGAGAACTTCCTTGTCTGTTAATTTGCACAAAAGGGTACATCCATAACCTGTTGAGTTTTTGTCCTCTCAAAACCTGAGCAGGTTTTAAACAACTCTGACCTGGTAAAGTGTAAAAGTTGATGAGAAATGAATGAAAAAACAAGCATTTTTGTAAGCTGCTGCAGTGTGTACAAAGAGCTGAGAGAGTCTCAGAATCTTTACTGTACTGATATACCCAAGTCAGCAAAATGTCCAGTTGCTTAGAAAAATGAATGCCAAAATTTGAGTGTCTGTTTTCCTAAAGCTAATTTTAGGGGAAGGCTTTCCACTCCATATTATACAGTAAACCCGAGTTAACTTTTAAAAGTGAAATCCTGAAGTCAAAATTTTTTACCTCAAATTAAATGTGACTTGCAAAACAAAGTTTTCCAAATCAATTTATTAATTCTTATTATCTTGACAGCTGGCATCATTAATACTTTTAACAAAATCACTTAAAATTAGCCAAATATCTAAGATACATGTACAAAAGATACACAAATTAAAACCATTTAAAAAGTAATAGATACCATAATTTGTACTTGGCCGTAACTTCTGTATTCAGAAATGATTGTAAAATTAAAACCAAAGATAAAAACTGTACACCATATACTTTGAGTGATTTACATCTTAGAAAACAAAGGCAGTCTTTTCACTGTTACAGATTTAGTGTCTCTGGTGGATTGAGGAGAGAAACACCATGATACCTGTAAAAAGACAAAAAAACATTTTTAGCAATATTCACTGGAAGATCATAGGATAATACACGAATGGGGAAATCAAAAATGTTGTTTCTATCTGATTTAGTTGATGGTTTCAGAAACACTGTCTGGTCCCCAAAACATGCATTCATGTCACCCATCCTCCCCCCGCCCCCCATGCAGAGCAGAAAGCACTAACTACAGCTATCTCCAAACAAAGGACCTGTTAAGAGAACAGCTTCTCAAGGAGGCTGTGGCAGATTAGTCAATCCTTTAATAAAGTTAAAATGTCAAACATCCCTGAATAATAATCTGAAAAAGCAAGTTTCTTCAATATCCAAGTTAACTCTTACTTTGAATTTTTATACTTTTCTCTTATTGACTGTTGTGCATGCTGTGGTGCTTTGAGGTAGGTCAGGTGAAGGTCCATGAGACAAGGCTTAAGACTTTCCAGAGTATATCCAGTCTTCTGTACTAATGATTCAGGCTACAGAGAAGGGAGTAAAGAACCACTGAATTTTGTTTTTGTAACAGACACAATAATAGCTGGCATTAAGCTTAACTTATGTTAAATTTCAGTAATAATCTTTAACACCTCCAACTAACAAATCTAGTTCCCTGGGTCACTATTCCATCTCATTTATGCTAATAACTTTGATACATTTTTACTACTTTTCCCTGTAAGCAGCAGGTCAGATGGCCTGAGTTCTTTAAGTGCACCTTTCAAATCCAAGTTATAACTGAGCTTACTGTACAAGCACATGCTATTCAACAGGTAAGATGCCTTAAACAATACACTTAGGGGATTGGTTCCAGAACCTTCAGTGTATACCCAAGTCCTTCAGTTGTCCCCGTGGAACCTGCATATATGAAAAGTTGGCCCTCCATGTACACAGGTTTCGCATCTCAAAAATATGTATTCAATCCATGTCTGGTTGAAAAAAAATCTGTGGATAAGTGGACCTTTGCAGTTCAAACCTGTGATGTTCAAGGGTCAACCATATATATTTGACCAGTTTTTCCAAGTAAGAACATCTAGACAACCATCAGTTCTATAGGACAATTATTCAACTTATCTGGCACAAGCATTTCAGTCACAAGGTAAATATGTGAAGACGATGTAATACATACCCAGCTTTGTCCCGTGATTGTGTAGAGTGCTAAATGAAAGGCTGCTCCAGCAATAACTGATGGCAAATACTTTAGGTATGGGTCAGCATCTATCAAGCTTAATTCTCCTAAAAACTGGAATGGAAACTACTTTAGAGCTTTAGAATTCAAACCTCAAATCCTTGCCTTCTGACCTATTTTTTTTTTATCTTTGTAATTGGCTCTGTAGCAACTCTAGAAAAAATATTCCACAGCCTCATCATTAAACATATATTATCAGTGTTTTGGACCATTCCTATCTTGTATTTTCCCCTCCTTTAATAACTTTTTAAAAACCACTCTTCTGACTACCATCTCCCAAATCTTCATCCTCATTCATACCACTAACTCCTAGTGCTTTCCGGATACTATCTTTTGCCAGTGGTAGGCTTTTTATTAATAGTATAGCATTAATCTCTTCCCAGAACACTAAATCTCTTGACCAAAGCTGTACAATGAAACTAGTATTACCTAAGAATCTCCATCCAACAAAATGAAAGTAACTTACCATTGCTAAACTTTCAACTTTGCAGTTTGCAGGCTGCAGATGCAAAAAGTATTGGGTAAGAAACTGATTTACTGTTGGTGCAGCTAAGTCAAAAGAAAGGACTTTCAAAACTAGGTGCTCCATTCTCAGAACTTGTTTCTTGGTATAGGTATCATCTGTAATGTACACAAACTCTGCTACTTCTGGGGGGTATATTTCTTCAAACTTTCTACAATGAAAAAAGTTTTAAGTAATCAGTCAAGAGAAGCTTTATCCCAATTCTGAAATCCCATTAGCAGAATATACGGAATGAACCCAAAACCTCACACTCTACCAACTGCACTTCCACAGGCACTTGATCATCATTTCCAGCAGGACTGGGTAGCTAACTGCTAATTAAAAGGCCCAAATTGATAAAGGACTGTTGAGATTTCTCCCCATGCAAAGGAAATAAATGAAATGCATGAGATTTCCCAAGATGGGGGCAATGCCAGCATTCACCATGCAACTAGAAATTTAGGAAATACAAGTCTTAGGAAAGTAAACACTATGTTTTCACTTTAACGTTTAGTTTTCATGTCTTAATTGAGAGAAGACAAGACACTGCTTATATCCCAGAAAGCATTATTACAGAAGGAACTATTTTTTCTTTTTCTTTTTTTTGAGACAGAGTCTCACTCTGTTCTCTGGGCTAGAGTGCCATGGCGTTAGCCTAGCTCACAGCAACCTTAAACTCCTGGGCTCAAGTGTAGTTGGGACTACAGGTATGTGCCCCATGCCCAGCTAATTTTTTCTATGTATTTTTAGTTGGCCAATTTCTTTGTATTTATAGTAGAGACGGGGTCTTGCTCTTGCTCAGGCTGGTTTCGAACTCCTGACCTTGAGCAATCCCCCAGCCTAGGCATCCCAGAGTGCTAGGATTATAGGCGTGAGCCACCGCCTCAGGCATCCCAGAGTGCTAGGATTACAGGCGTGAGCCACCACGCCCGGTCAGGAACTATGCTTTTTAAAACTTGTAATCCAGTCCTAGTGTATGGAAAGTGTAGCCAGTCTCCATGTTCATTAAAGGTACCCTGGAATCCAGATCAGGAAAATTAGTGTTCTAAATTAGAACACAGTTTCATCTTGCTCCACTCTTCCGAACCATCCTTAAAGTAGTCACGGACTCTGCCTGGTGTAATATCACCATTAATCTCAATTTCTTCCCTACACAAGGTAGTGATCACTTTTAATCGAGCAAACCAAGGTGGACTTACGAGGCTAACAGCATAGCAGCAGTGCCCACAAGCTGAAGCTTTCCTCTTAACACAGACATCGAAGAAAGGAATCTATCAATGTAGTTCACAGCCAAATGCAAAGTCTCATTCTGTAGTTTATATTCTTCTCCAACTTCAACTAACCAGTCCACCAGGATAGCCCTCATACTGTTAGTGATGTCTGGCTGTTTCTTCATGTAACCCACTTTCGGTTTACACTTAACCTGTTGAAAAAGTTATTTAGTAGTGTTAAAAGTGCAATTAGGTTATTTTATCATTAACAAAGATGCTGCATGCATCTTAAGTACAGCATTAAAGTAATTCACTAGTAGTTAAAAAACTTAAACATTATCCTCTCAATTTCATTTGGCCACATTTAATGAATACATTATATACACTGGATACAAAGAGCCTTTACCTCCATTTCCCTAAGGTATGTATGAATATCCTCATGGTAGTCTGGTACTTCATTAACGCTCAGTGGCTTTTCATCTTCTAATACAATTGACATGTCCATAGTATGTGGTGATTCTGGGACAGTTAAAAAGATATGATTAATTGCTTAATTTTCTATTTGGTTTAATAGCTAAAAATGACTGCCCATGTAAGGAATCTCATACTACCAAAGCATTTATTTCACCCAACTAAAAAGGGTTTCTCATCACAAAATACAAAGAATAGTTCACTCTGTTTTTTATATCTCTAGGCACATAGCTTTGGAATGATTTTGATAAGAAAAAATATTGATAGGCCACTAACAAGAAAACAAGGATTGGGTGTTATCTTAAATTATTCATCTTCCATGAGCAAAAGGAACAAATGGTGTGGTGGGTGGTTCTGATAGCATAAAGCACTTAAATCCAAGTTTTAAGAAAATGTCTAAGATTTGCTTTAAGAGGTATTGCAGACCCTCAGAGTCTAAGCACAATTAGGCAATAGCTAGAATCAATGAAATGATTTCCATTAATAAGTGTTAATAAGGAAATTAGGTTTGTTATGTCACTTCAGATTAACATTATAAGGTGATTCATTTCTTGTAATAAATTATCTTGAGGCAAATAATATCATCTAATATTCTTTTCACTTCAAAGATCATCTTGAGGTTAAAAATTTGTTGCAAAATTTGAATAAGAACATAAATTATTTTCAAAGGACTTTCCCCTTACCCCTCATCCCCCACAATCAATATAACTTTTTTTTTTTTTTTTTTTTGAGACAGAGTCTTGCTTTCTTGCCTAGGCTAGAGTGAGTGCCGTGGTGTCAGCCTAGCTCACAGCAACCTCAAACTCCTGGGCTTAAGCGATCCTGCTGCCTCAGCCTCCCGCGTAGCTGGGACTACAAGCACGAGCCACCATGCCCGGCTGATTTTTATATTATATATATTAGTTGGCCAATTAATTTCTTTCTATTTTTATGGTAGAGACGGGATCTCGCTCAGGCTGGTTTTGAACTCCTGACCTTGAGCAATCCGCCCGCCTCGGCCTCCCAGAGTGCTAGGATTACTGGCGTGAGCCACCGCGCCCGGCCTCACAATCAATATAACTAAAACTAACATGAGATTGGATTTAGTGAGCTGTCCAGTGATTCTAGCCCTTTGGTAAAGAAAATGCACAAACCTTAGGCAGAGCCATCTACAATAGCTACTCTATTTTATATGTTGGTAAGAGCAAACAGCCATGGTATAACCATTGACTGACTTCCAGGAGGGCAGTGTCACTTTCTGCTATCAAATGATCAGAGACTGGTTTTATAGAAACACAATTGTAAAGCTGGAAGAGATGTTAGATATCACATTATTTAAGACTGCATTCTCAAATAGCACATTCTAAAGTGGTATGGAAGAAGTGAGTCTTATAAATATAACTGAAATCTATTCTCCCAACCAAGCAAACATTTATGGGATCAGATTAAAGTATTCCAAATCTAATTAGATTGATGTAATTTTGACAGCATGCCCAGGTTAGGATCCTTTTGTAGCTCACTAGGTCAAGTGTTAGCTGTGATACCTGAGGAAAGTCACACCCTTTTGAAGCCTTGTTACATTAAACCTTACTCCATCCTAATGATCAAGTAAGACACTACCTTAAAACGCAAAATAACAGCAATCCAATCTAGTTATAACTACCTTAATTTGATAGAGACTTTCTTAAAACTTACCAAAACTGCCATCCATTGGATAATCAAGGGGTGCCAGTGGTTTTCGTGGTGCAGGTAAAGTAATAGCTGAATTAAAAGCCAGGACATCTTCATGTTCTGTTTTCTTCGATTCTGCTGGCCTCTTTTGAGTTTCTTCTGCTTCATCCACATGAATGGTGAATGCAGGCTGTTTACTATTTGTTTTCCAAGGAGGAACAGTGACATGATCATCATTTATAGGAAGGTCCTTAAGAGGTGCACCCTAAAAAGAAATTGATAACTGGCTTTGAGCCTTGTAAATGGAGTTTTGCTTTCTTTCCTTATGAGTCTCAGCCTTTGCATTTTCTCCCAAATACTCTATCAGGAAAATTAAACTTTCTGAGGCAGTCTAGGCAAAGAATAGTTTGAGCAAAGACAGAAAGGATGTTCCAGTTTGTTACAGGCATTCCCACAAAGGTTATAATACTAAGTGGAATTATGTAAAAGCAATCAATCAAGGCCACAAGAAAGGTGGAGCGGCATACCCATAGATGACAAGTTTAGGAAAGAGTTGGCAAAAGAGTGTTGGTTCACCGCTTTCACCCCAGGGTGGAGCAACAGAGCAAATCCGGTTAAAATGGCGGAATTTACTAAAAGCAAAGTATTGTTTATAACTTTTCCTATAGTAGATCTTTTAAACAGATGAGGAAGAGGAACCGGGTCCTAAAGGACTGCCTAGTGTTTATAAGTGGAGAGAAGGGCGCTGAGCTTGGCAAAGACGACACATTTTATGGCTTGGTTGGATCCCTTTATCTATGGGGAAATGCCCCCAGTAGAGAGCAGACAGGCAGCATACGCAGTGGCGGGGTCGTGATGCTAAGAATAATAGGAGAAGCTCCTCCTGTGGCATTTCATACACCGGAAACTGGGGACCAGGTGAACTCCAGACTCCCTCCCCTCAAAACCCCAGGGGATGCTTTATCACCACTCCACTCTTCCCGCTAAGCCTATGCCCAATTCCCGCTCGGCCCACCCTCCTATAGACAATCTCCCATTCTTTTACCCGTCGCGTCTTGGGCCTCTGCTGTGGCGCTAGACCCCGCGTGTTACCGGCCTTCAGTACAGCCAGCGCGGCCCGGGTCCGAGGCTGCTGGGTAGGCGCTGCTTTCTCCGGGTTGATGTTCTCCTGATCCTCCTGGAGTGCCGTCTGCTGCAATGTTAGCAGTGCCGAGCCTGCCTCGCGGGCTGCAGGCCCCGTCGCAGAGCTGCCCAACATCACTGCTCCCGGGGGCGGACGGCGGGATCAGCCTGCGGCGCCAAGCAGCAGCAGCGTGCACTCCCCGCCCGCCGACCAGTTGCGCCAACTCAGCCGAGGAACACTCCAGCCGTAGCTGCCCGCTGCAGCTCAGGCCAGCCTGCCCGCCTGCCTGCTCACCCGGCTCCGGACCACGTAAGACCAATGGGGTCGTGAAAGGCGCGGGCAGGCACGGCCAAACACGGACAGGCGTGGCGGGCCAAAGACGCCCCCGAGTTGTAGCAAGCAGCCCGCCGGAGCGGCCGCTGTTCATGCAGTTCAAGTATCCCGCGACTATTGAAATGGACCAATGACAGCGGTCGAGGTTCGTTACGTCACTCTAGGCGACGGGGTCGCAGGAAAGTAAAGAAGGCCACGAAGGGGCGGGACTGGTTCCCTCCGCCCGGCGAAGGGGCGGGGCGGGGCGGAGAAACGTCGAAATGGGGCGGGAGGAAAAACGCCTGCGCTGGGCGGAGGGGTAGTGGGGACTCAAGGGTCGAGCTTCTCTCGACTTTAAACGGAGCCACTAGGCGGATGCCTGGTAATGCTCACATAGAAATACAGTACTCAAGTGGCAGACTGTAATGTTATCTTACCATTTAGATGTTTATTCACAGTAAGCAGAAGTTGTGTCTTATGCTTTTTATTTTTCTTAATGAAGATGCAATTAAGATGCCAACTACTGTTGTATATATAAAAAATAGTATTACAAGAAATTCAAGTAATTATTAATTTTTCCCAAGCTGTGGAAGCCAACAAAAAACACCCAGTGAAATTCTAGTGACTGAGATACGATTATATGCTCTATTCAGAAATGAAGGATGTTTAAATATAATAAAAACAGTATGACCTTATTAAAATAAAACTCTCTTAATTATATGTGCCTTTAACAAATTTTTATATTTCTATACAAGGCTGGCACATAATAAATATAATGGCATATAATCATGAAGCATTGTTTTCTGAAAAATTCGTGAGTCTGCCCTCCTGAAAACATAAAGAATAGTTTATTTTCCATTATCTTTATGCCATTTTAAAATATTTTCCCTTGAAATGAATATATATTAATTCAAATTTATGAACAAAACCTCTGTAGCCTTAAAGACATATTTTCCTTCGTAAATGATAAGGGAATTAGAAGATACTAGTGCAGTTGCTAATGGTCCTTGGAACTACATGAAAAAAATAAATAAAAAGAATTGAAAATAAAGAATTTAAATATTTTAAAAAAAGAAGCTACTAGTGCAGAAAAATCTAAGAAGCCATCACTATTTATGTACCCTTCACATATATCTAGTACATTTGTATAGCTCAACTGGTTACAGCACAAATTAAGATCCCCCTACTCTATGCAAGCTTCACTTACTTCCCTGGCCACAATTTAGAGTACTAAGCCAAGTCAAGCATTTCACAAAACCACAGCAGGGTCATAAAACATTACACCGAGCAAGAGAGAAATCAGTTGCAAATCAACCTTAACAGCTAGAAAAAATAATTGGTAGGTTATTTACACTGGTTGATGACCATATTTAGTAACCAGGACACAAACCAGGTACCAAGCACTTGGGTTCTGGTCCCTGCTTTATAAAATACTAGCATATCCTCTTAATCATGTAATCTCACTGAGAATCAGTTTTCTTAAATGATTTCACAAACTTATAGAACAATTGTGAAGATCAAATAAGGCAATATATAAGGATACATTTTGAAACCTGTAAAGCAAGTTTACACATTTATGTGTTTACCTTGTAAAACATTTGAATATATTTTTATTTTCCAAATTTTATTTCTCAATTAAAAAATTAAAACAGCTACTTGCCAAAAATTCATTACAATCCTACTTATAACCATTCTACTTGTGTTTTAAAAATAAAATTCCTCTTTGGTTCTAGACAGTTCCATCTGTCCAAAGAAAGAGAAACATTATTTAAAAAGTCATATCTCAAATATTTTTAGATTATATTAAAAAGTATTTGAAATAAAAGTATGTACAGTTAGCCTGAAATTCTGTTCTAACATTTTTCATTTAAAAAGATCATTTCTTTGGGACTTTACCTTATTTATATTTCATGCTGCATCAAAGAAAGCAATCAATGCATTTTGGTCATAACTGTCCAGAATCTCCAGTAGAAGAGGTACTTTTGATTTTACATTGGTGCCTTTGAACTTAAACTTATCTATGAAAAGGTCTGTAATCATACCTATAAAGAAAAATGTTAATTTCCTGTCACTGATAAGTTCTATTTAATGACATAGTATTTCATTAAAGTGATTGCTTAATAATCTATTTTAAGCATCTGTAATTCTACTATTTAACACACACAAACCTAAAAGAGTTGATGTTTTTTAAATATAGTCATTTTGGGGGGATTTTAAAGCAAATTCAAGATATAAATCATTTGACTAATAACTCTCTTAACAACTGGTTACAAGCTATTAATTCAGACAATCAACTGCTGTCCATTTTTGAAATGCTATCCGTATATATAACATCATTAGGAGTGGTTTATTTTTCCCACCAAGCAGACTATTTTGACATAATGTAGTTAGATTCTATTCTTAACAGCTTTCTCTGAATCAAAATACTCCACCTATATGTTGACCATTCTTGGGATTTATCTTGAAGGCAAACAGTCCTGGGTTCAAGGACCTGGGCAGATTATTTCACCTTTGAGTTTTCTCATATGTAAAATGGGAATAATTCAAACTGTCAGTCCTTTATCCAAAACCCTTGATGCAAGATGTATTTCAGAATTTTCCATATTTTTATAAGATAATGAAAGGAATATGCTACATATGGTATTAACCCAAAGGGAATGAATAGCAGCATCCAAAAATAAAAAAAAAATAGTAATATTTCTGCAACAAAATATATGATGAATATACTATATTGAATAAAAAAAGATTATAAATAACCTCACATCAGGCTAAGTCAGGTTTTGTCATTAAATTAATTCAGATTAAGTCAAGATTTTGCTGCCAAATGATTTTTGAAAAAAGCTTCAGTTTTCAAAGCTTTCTGGATTTTGGAATACAGTGGTAAGAGTTAATGGATCTACACCACTGATCTCTTAGGTTGTTATAAGAATAAAAGAGATCATGGGTACTACAGTAATAGGATATTGGGCAGGGGGGAGGAGGCAGGGGGACGGGTATATACATACATAATGAGTGAGATGTGCACCATCTGGGGGATGGTCATGATGGAGACTCAGACTTGTGGGGGGAGGGGGGGAAATGGGCATTTATTGAAACCTTAAAATCTGTACCCCCATAATATGCCGAAATAAAAAAATAAATAAATAAATAAAAGAGATCATGGACTTACATATAGTAAACTTTAAGATATTAGATACTGCTACAATTTATAAGAAAGCTTCTAGGTATATAATAAGAAATTCAGCAGCAGGCTTACGGATCAATTGACTCTATAGTGCCTATGGAAGACTCGGCATAGTGTAAAAAGCATGCATTTTGGGGCGAGAACACTAGTGCAGGCTTTGCCACTAATTAGCTATGTGACAACAACTTCTTTAGTCAAGATTTCAGTTAAAGAATATGAAAAATGAAGACAACACCATCTACCTTGCAGACCTCTTACAAGGATTAAAAATCCCACCTGATTATGAAGATGGTATAAAATGCTATGCACCATAGGTCTTATGTAGAGATTGCTAACAAAATTGTTATTCTTAAGCTGTTCATTCCTTTCTTCCTCCCTCTCTCTCTGCTAAACTCCTTCATTCTTTCCTTTAATACAATTAGTGAAACACCTTTCTCCACCAAAGTGAGTTTTACTTCTTTTTTTTTTCTTGAGACAGAGTTTCACTTTGTTGCTCAGGCTAGAGTGAGTGCCGTGGCATCAGCTTAGCTCACAGCAACCTCAATCTCCTGGACTCAAGCAATCCTTCTGCTTTAGCCTCCCGAGTAGCTGGGACTATAGGCATGCGTCACCATGCCCAGCTAATTTTTTTCTATATATTTTTAGTTGGTCAATTAATTTCTTTCTGTTTTTAGTAGAGACGGGGTCTCGCTCTTGCTCAGGCTGGCTTTGAACTCCTGACCTTGAACGATCCTCCCACCTCCGCCTCCCAGAGTGCTAGGATTACAGGTGTGAGCCACTGCACCCGGTCCCCAAAGTGAGTTTTGAACTGAGTAATTACTGAGTTTTGATGAGTAATTACTCATCATATATACTATATATCCTTAATTAAATTTTGCCTAAAAATATAAAGATTATATATAATCTATATATGTGAATAATTTTTATATTTCACAATCGCAACAAAACCTAAAAATTATTTCTGTGAAATAGTCTATATTCTAATGCTTCTTAGGTTATATTCATTTTATACAAGGTTTCTTCGTAATATACAAATTCATCACAGTGCACTTCTTTTTACTTGTATTTTATCAAGTAAAAATATTCAACTAGCTTGACAAAATATAGAAATATTCTGTGCAATAAACTAGTTGTCATTGGTTCATAACTGCTATAATTTTTGTCTCTTTCTGCCCAGCTTCTCACATGATCCTTGGGAAAATAGTCAGTTCAAAAGAAATATGACACGGTATTCTAGAATAGTCCACTAACCATAGAGTCTTTCAAGATGTGCAGGTTGCTTTTTGTATTCTTCCTGTAGATGATCTGCCTCTTCTAGAATACTGCGATATTCTGGTATCAAAAAGTCTGTATTTCCCTCATGAACCTGCAATTCCTTATTTAAAAGTAAAAATAGAAGCACTTTAATATTCAAAATTCAATCCAGTGTAATACGAAACTATTCATAATTTTAAAAATTCCATTACTTAAAATAATGACCATGAGTCCACAACATATATACTTACTTTTAAAGCATCAATTAACTGCACTTTCTTAGCCAAAAGCAACTGGTATTCCAACTTTGGGTGGATTAGCTTTAAAGTGTGTTTGACTGATACTTCATTTATCTCTAGAAGGAGTTGGCCAGGCACAATTAGATAAGTCACTTTGATCACAAACATTATTATGGTAACAACAAAAATCAGAAAGAATAATTAATTTTTCTTTATTTTTACCGTATGTTATGTTGAGGTTAATTTTCCTTTTTGTAGCTTCTTTAGAAAGCACATCTTTTAGGATGGATATAGTAGAAATGTTGTCAGATTTAAAAACTCCTTCTCCTTTTCTAAAAAATTAATATATTTTTAAAAGCAAAGCTATAGAAGGAAGTGGTCCAGTAAATACATATTTTATTTCTAAGTGTATTAGTGTTTAGATTTCATTTGATTTTAGATTTCTCTGTATACATATATCATTAATATGAAGCATAAACATGTAATCCTTTACTATATGAATTCGACTTCTGAACATACTGGTAAAACTAAACAAAATATGCTAGATATATGCCTCCTAAACATATGACAATTTATGTAAGTACTTCACTTAAAACAACTTTTTTCATTTTCACTAATATTTCCAATAGCTAACCTCTTATATATAAAATATATTTGGAATTGCTTACTTATACACAGTATGTTTTTCTTTGGTGTAATCACACAAATTACACCATGACTATATGCTGCATTCTCTAAAGGTCTTGCTCTGTCACCCAGGCTGGAATGCAGTGGCATCGTCACAGCTCACTGCAATCTCAAACTCCTGGGCTCTAGTGATCCTCCTATCTCACCCTCCCAAGTATCTGGGACTACAGTGCACACTGCCATGCCTGGATAACTATTTCTACTGTGTTTCCCCGAAAATAAGACAGGGTCTTATATTTATTTTTCCTCAAGAAGACATCCTAGGGCTTATTTTCAGAGGATGTGTTATTTTTTTTAAGTACGGTACAACAATCTACATTTATTCAAATATAGTTAAGTCCTCTTCTTCTGGAACATCATCATAACTCTCCAAACCCCAAATCCCATCCTGAATTTCTTGCAATTCTATTTCCTTTAGAACCACTGGCCCCAATCTCTCATGTTGAGCAATAGAGCTCTCATGGGGCAGATGAGAAGGGCTGCTCATCTTCTTTACTGCTCCGTGCCGAAATGCCTGGGTTGTGCAGATACACTGCATAGCCACGCCCATCACTAGGTCTCATTTTTGGGGTAGGGCTTATATTGCGCAAATGCTTAGAAATCCTGCTAGGGCTTATTTTATGGGTAGGTCTTATTTTCAGGGAAACACAGTATTTCTTACCCAGGCTGGTCTCAAACTCCTGGCCTCAAATGATCCTCCCACCTCAGCCTCCCAAAATGCTAGGATTACAGGTGTGAGCTACCATACCTGGCCTATGTTTCATTCTTTAAAGAAATCTGATATCAAATCGGAAAGAGTGGCATCTGCTGTTTCTACATGCCAGCATCAAATGTCACAGCTTATGGCCACAGGACCCTTATTTTTCTTTAGGGAATTATTCCTTCTCTGTATCTGCCTCCCCCTTCTCAGTCCATATAGTTTCAGTGGCAGTGGCCTCAATTCATTTTTGGGACTTCAGGAGAAAGCATTTAGCAGTATATTCCATATCCCTGACTACAGGGATTCACAGCTTGACGATACTACTAAATCCTGGAACTGCTATCGAAACTAGAGGGAAAGAGAAGCTCTATGGCAGCTGAAAAGTTATAATGCTAGATTCCAGAAACTGCATGGTACCAAGTGAAGAAAAAACAAAAGCAGAACTGAGCAATGGAAAGAGATAAAGTCTTGATGACATCAGTTAATTTGATCCAGTTGTACCTGAGGCAGATTACTGCTATACTTTAATATGAGCCAATAAATTCCTTTTATTTGGTTAAGCTTGTTTTCTTCCTTTTTATGATGACTAGGTTTCCTAAATAATATATACCATCTTTCATATATTCAATGTTGTCTGTTCATTTGTTTTCACACACACACACACACACACACACACATCATTGATATTGACTAGGTGTGGGCATAATCCTAATTATGTTTTAGAAATCACGACATTTTTATTAGTCTTTAATCTTAACAATGATATTTAGTAAACACTTATACAGTGTCAGGCACCATGGAATGACTCACATAGTTTATCTTCTTTTAAACATCACAACAATTCAAGGAAGTGCTATTATTTCCATTCCTCAGAAAAGAAAACTGAAGCTCAGAGAATTAAGTAATCAGCTAAGGTCACATAGCTGGTGAGTCACAAAGCCAAGATTTAAACCTAAGTATGTCTGCCTCCAGAGCACATGCTTCTACACTACCTCCATATACATGTATTTCATTCAGGAACCCAAAAAACATTTGTTGAGCATCTACTATGTGCAAAAGTACATGGTAGGTCCTTGGAGGATACATACGAAGATAATTAAAAATAAACTCTGCCCAGGAGGATACAGTCTAACTTAGAGAGAAAAGCCTACATAAAAATTATTATATACTTTAAGCAAATAACAATACAAAAGACAGGTAAGAATAAAATGCTATGGGAAAAGAGAAAGGAATCAAGGCTTCAAAAATGTCACTATAAAGTTGGGCTTTGAAGAAGAAATAGAGTTTTGACTGTTAAGGAAAAAAATTTAAAGACACAGAATGGTGAAGAGCAAAGGTATGCTGTTATGAAAATATATAATATGCTAGGACCATGTTGAATTGTCTGCTAGGATTAGTGAGTGAGGTTCACTGTGGTATTTCAAAACAGGAGTAATTATTACAGGTTTAGACACAGATACGCTTCCTTGGAGGGTACAGAGAAACACTTACATAGAACTGATATTAAAACCAATTAGATTTCCGACAACTTCTTGATCCCAAAAGGCTAAATTCTGAGGTAAAATTATGCGTTCACTGCTGTTTCTAGAACTTAGCATGATAAAGTCTCAACTAGGGAGCAGGAGCAGGAAGTATGATAGAATACCTCATTTATCTGCTTAGGGAAAAAATCCTTAGCAGGCAAAGGCAAAGAGAGGATAAGAAGCTCTCTCTCCCACAACACAAGCAAACAAACAAAAACAAACTTACAGGCCGGGTGGGGTGGTGGCTCACTCCTGTAATCCTAGCACTCTGGGAGGCCAAGGCAGGTGGATTGCTCGAGGTCAGGAGTTCAAAACCAGCCTGAGCAAGAGCGAGAACCCGTCTCTACTATAAATAGAAAGAAATTAATTGGCCAACTAATATATATAGAAAAAATTAGCCAGGCATGGTGGTGCATGCCTATAGTCCCAGCTATTTGGGAGGCTGAGGCAGCAGGATTGCTTGAGCCCAGGAGTTTGAGGTTGCTGTGAGCTAGGCTAATACCAGGGCACTCACTCTAGCCTGGGGAGACTCTGTCTCAAAAACAAAGAAACAAACAAAAACAAAAATAAAAACAAACTTACAGATGTAAGAATAAGAATGCAAAAACCCTGAAGAAGCCAGAGGGTCCAAGCTCAAAGAGCAGATGCAGAGATAATAGCCTTGCCCGAGAAGTAGGCCATTTCACATTCAGAAAAAATAGAAGGAAATTTTTAGCCTCCACTGCTTTAAAAAATTGAGCTTATGAGAGATGAGTGAGAGGTTGACAGCGGAAGAGGAGGTGAAGGCAACCAGAAGCTTGAAAGAGTGTAAAAGATACAATGACCTTCACGTTGTATTACGACAGTTTCAAAAAGCCTGTGTGTTCTAAGCTATCTTATATTTTTGCCTAAAGAAATTCAACTGGAATTTTTATTAGAGTTAGAATATTCAAATCATTTTGGGTAGCACTGATCTTTTACAATCTTTTACAATGGCTTAATTTTGATGACTATTGATTACTCCATTTAATCTTTCATATCAATAAAATTTTATAGTTTACATAAATTCTGCGTGTTTCAAATTAAGAATATTCTTACAGATTTTATGTGGCTACTTTGTTATTATTGCTACTCTGAAAGGGTTTTTTAAGCAATGTATTTTCTAACGTTATTGTTGGGAATTTAGGAGAGGTATTGATCTTTCCATATTCATCTTTATTCAAATCACTTTTCTAAACTTATTAATTCTACTTGTTTTTCAACAGATTCTCTTGAACGGTATAGGTTTCCAATCATATTATTCGCAAATTATTTCTGCCTTAGAACAAATAAAAACTTGGAAGCTACATTTATATAAAACAACACTTATGAACCAGTAATAAGTTTGATTTACCTGTAGGTACTTTCAAGTTGTGTATCCAGGAAGGTGTTCTGAAAGTAAAATGTCACACATTTTACTGGAGGTTTTTCAGGAACTTCAGGCAGACAAAAAACCACCCAGGAGTGAACTTCAGCAAAACTGAACTGGCCTGTTAGCATCAGTGTATTCATGGGTCTGTAATTTAATGATAGAGATACATATTTGTGTGAGAGAATATGTGGAAGTATTATATGTATGCATTAATAAACAAAATTCTGCAACAGTAGTTAAACAAACATAAGAACCCATTTAATTTCCTCAGGTTAATCTCACACATCAAATAAATGAACATTCCAATTTCCTGCAAAAAAAATTTAAACACTTTGCCTATACCTGCACTTGTGCTAGGTAGGTATCTTAATATTCAGTCAAGTGATATATGTAAATAGCTTTTTTTCATTATAACAGGCTTTACAAATAAGATTCAGTTTACTCAGGTAGATTTTATTTTTTAAAAGTTCATCTAGGCCAGGCATGGTGGCTCACGCCTATAATCCAAGCACTCTGGGAGGCCGAGGCGGGAGGACTGTTTGAGCTCAGTTCGAGACCAGCCTAACCAACAGCGAGACCTGGTCTCTACTATAAATAGAAAGAAATTAGTCGAAACAACTAAAAAAATAGAAAAAATTAGCCGGGCATGGTGGCACATGTCTATAGTCCCAGCTACTCGGGAGGCTGAGGCAAAAGTATTGCTTGAGCTCAGGAGTTTGAGGTTGCTATGAGCTAGGCTGACACTACAGCACTCCACCTCGGGCAACAGAGTGAGACTCTGTCTCATAAAAAAAAAAAAAAAAAAGTTCATCCAGTATTTATACTATATAAACTATCAGACATACTTACACAAGAATCTCCTTAGTAAAAGAATCAGTACAATGTGAAGGCAAAGAACTGGGCTTTTGGGTAAGATAGGCATGGATTTAAAACCTTGCTCCATTATTTACTGGGTATGTGTCACTAGGCAAGTTATAGAATAATACCTTCTATCTTACAGAGATATGGAATCATACTTTCTATCCTGCAAAAGGTTGTAAAATAAATCAAATAAATTTAAAATAAATCAAATGGATAATTTTAAAGAGTTAAGAGAATACAACGTGTATGGAATGAAAAGTTCTGAAGAACTGTAATAGGATACAGAATTAAGAAATCTTGACCAGGCATAGTGGCCCATGCCTATAATCCCAGCATTTGGGAGGCTGAGGGAGGAGTATCACTTGAGCCCAGGAGTTTGAGACTAGCCTGGGCACATAGTCAGACCTTGTTTCTACAAAAAAATAAAAAAAATGAGCTAGGTGTGGTGGCACAAGCCTGTAGTCCTAGTCCTAGCTACTTGGGAGCCTGAGGCAGGAGGATCACTTGAACCTAGGAGTTTAAACCTGCAGTAAACTATCACTGCACCACTGCACTTCAGCCTGAGTGACAGAGCAAAACCCTGCATCTTAAATAAATAAAAAAAATAATAATAAAAAAGAAATCTAAAAGCTAGAAGGAACTTTTGAGATCATCCAGACCAATCCTCTCATTTACAGATGAAAAAAATAAAATCCAGAGAAATTATTTCCCTAAAGTCACATAGGAACAGATTATTATAATCCAAGTCTCTTGATTCTCAATTTGCTGTTCTGTAAAACACACTATGCTACCTCCATTAATACCAACTTTGACGTTTAAGCAGGAAGATACCCCAAAAAGAATCTATTCTCTTTAATGTTTTTCAGAAATCTTAGTTAGGAATGTTTCCCCTTGCATCTTATTTAAATTATGTATCTTTAAAATGACAAGCTGCAATAGAAAGAAAATGGGCTTTGGCCCCAAATCATACCTTTGGTCCTTTCATTAGCAAGTTACTTGCTTTTCTAAGCCTCTGTTTGTCACTCATAAAACAGAGACATTACTATACAAACTAGAGTAAGAATTAAATGATAATATATAAACACCGAGGCACAATACACAGCACAAAGACAATAATCAATAATTGTTCACCTTTTTCCCTTCACTTTCATTTTAGCCCATGTTCTTCAGTCCCAAAAAACTACAAACAGATGCTTAAGTTGGAATGAAAGTCAGAAACAAAAGGGACTATAACAACCAATGATTCTACCGCTATTCCTTGAGGAGAAAGAGAAAGGAAATACGATGCTTGAGGCTAATACAATGAGGTCCTATTTACAGACTACTCTTAGACCTAACCTAAACAGTATTTGCTCACAATAGGTGTTTGAGAGAGCATGAGAGAACTACTACTCTTATAATGATCTCAGAATGGTAATATATGAGAAAGATAGGAAAAACCAACTCAAACCAGTTTCTAAAATAAGACAAAGAATCCTATATTTATTAGAAATACTAAATCCATACCATTTAAAATATTTATTTCATTTTTAAGATATAGAAAGAACTACCAGCATTTATACTATAAAAATATAAATCAGGTTTATCTGAATTGTGTAATATCCTAAAAATAAACTGCTCTTTCTTTTGTCCTACCTGTCATGATCAATAGAGTGAGTTCTTTGATGGAGTGAAAGAGGTTTGATATGGTATTGGCGGACCTGACAGGTTTTGGGCTGAATTCTTGGAGTCACATATGCTTGAAGTGTGCCATACTGGCCTTCAATTGAGCGAATCTGATTCAACATTAAAGAGGAAAGAAAAGAATATTTAGCAACATAAATACATCTTTAAAATGTCCAACACAAGTTATCAAGTATTTATGCCTTATTCTCTTCTATACTATTTTGAAGGATATTATGACATTCCATTAAACAACTACATTTTGCCACTAGAACAAAGGAAAATTAAAAAGATTTTTGGTAGTCAAAGCAAAATTAGTTAATCTATAAGTTATCTCCACCACTACACCATTCCAAGACATATATTCCTATCTACTACCCCATCACTTCTATATATTAATATTTTATAAGATTTACATAAAAATGGCTAAAATTGGATATTTTGTTAAGTTTTCAAAATAACTAAAATTTATATGAAATGCTTCTTTTCCTCAGAAATGAGATTATAGCATATAACTACTGCTAATATAAAAATCTACTGACAGAACAAAATGTTTCTAAGAACTTAATTCTTAATTTTCTGTGAAAATAGAGATGCATACCCACAATCTAATTATGTCATACTTGGACTGGAACATTCTTTTGGGGTATTTTGAATATGGCAGGTTGGATATCCTGATAATTCAAAACTCTTAACAGAAAAAAATAATTCACTGAACTATGAGTTGTAGTATAAGAAGAGTTAGAAAGTTGTCTAGATTCTTCCTCTTGCCCTCCTTTCCATTCCTCTCTGTTCTAATTCATGAGATGGATTATAGTACCTCCTGTACTACAAAGGTAACTTCTCTAATCTGATATTTTAACTCACACTTTTTGTGGCATGAGGAAAAAAAAATCAGTGTTTCACCTAAGTAAGAAATATAAATTAAAGTTTATGGCAAAAGTTTTTGCAAATGTTGCATTACGAATATTGCTCTGACTAGGGAGAGAGGAATAATAAAAGAATAAGAAAAATAATGAATAAAAACAGAAAAAAATAAAAAATAAATCTGACAAACCTATATTTTGGGGTTTATTTTTAAAGGGTAAACTCACACTGGCAACAGAATTTTTTCATAATAAAAAAGAGCTTTCATAATGACTATAACAATTTTTCTATGAAAAAGGTTTTTTTTAATAATGAATATAACAATTCATATTATTCAGAAAGTCAACCAATGAAGAAAAATTTGGACAAAGATGCAAGTCACGTGAAATCCTCCCACCCAGAGATGATCATTGTAACCATTTGGGAAGTTATTCTTTCATGTCTCTCTATGCACATGTACAAAAACAAACAGATAATTTCACATGAATAAGTTCTATTTATACTATAGACATCTTTGCTTTCATTTCCAAAATTCATTTTCCCCCTTATCTCTGCCTCTCCTGTTACTATCATGTCCCCTGCACTTTGATCCCACTTATGCCTCCCCCATATTGTATCACCTGCTGTACCAGACAGGTATGTTTCTTTTTATAACTTTCTTAATATTTATAGATATAAATATATACAAATATATAGGGATTTTATCTGTATTTTGTGTTTTTCATGAAATTCCCTCCATGTTAACAAGTATAGATCAACTCATTGTTTTTAGCAGCTATATAATATTCCATTAAATATCCATGGTATAGTTATTTATTCAACCATTCACTCAATTGCGTATTCACTTTTGTTCCACTTTTCTGCCTCTTGAAGCAATGCTGCAGTTAATTATACATACATCTGTCTGTATATTACTGTGAATTTATTGCTATTAAATAGATTCTCTCAAATGAGGCTATTACCTATATTCCAAAGTGGCTGTAACAATTTATATTTCCCCCAGCTATGATTGACAGTCATTCATGTCACCTAGTGATATTGTTCTTTAACATGTTTTGCCAATCTGTTTGATAAGCAGAAATTGCTTTTTGTTATTTTGAGTTGAATTTCTAATTCAAATAATAGCTAATAATGAGGTGGGACTTTTTTGTTAACTATTTTGATTCCCTCGTCTATGAATTGCCTATCTGTATCCTTTGCCTATATTCCTTAATTAATAGTCTTTATTATAACAATTTATAGGCTGTCTTTGTATTTTATTGACAATTACCTATTATCTGGAAGACAAATTTTCTTCTTTTTAAATAACTAGGTACTTAATCCATCTGAATTTATTTATGAAGATAAGCGTCCACTTAACTTTCTTCCAAATGAATACCAACTGTGTGAACACTAGTTTTTAAATAGAAATAGTAATTTAATAGAATTTTTCCCTAAATAGAAATGTCACACATTAAATTACCATAAATGTGTGCTAGAATCTATTCCTAGACTCTATTCTGTTACATGGCATATTTATTTAGGCTTGGAAATACCCCCCATTATTTTTGTTATGATAGTTTTATAGCATGTTTTATTATATGGCAAAGCAAGTTAAACCTTACTTTTCTTCCTTTTCATAATTTTTTTTCCCTTTTTTAGGAATACTGTGTTGAGATCTTTTCATAATTTTCTTGGCTCTTTTTGGGCATTTTTTTTCTCTGTATATTCTTTTAGAAATAAATTTATCTTAGTCTTTAATTTTTCTTTCAAAATACATGACTGGGAACTTATGCAGACAAAAATGGATTATTTAGGGAAAAATTACATTTAACTGGTACTTCCTTGACCAGATGTGAAAAAATTATTGTATAACAGCATCTCTCCTGAAAAAAAATAGTTTGAGTTTCAAAACATCAGCAACACCAGGAAAAACAGTTATAGTCCTTAATTTTTAAATCATAAGTGTATAAAAACTAAAAAATTTTAAAAATCTCACATGACAAATAACTAAAATAGATTTGTGTGCTACATTCAATATTTAATTATAAAAATGATTATATTATTAATTTGCTAAAGAAAACTTTAAAAGGTTTTCTCTAGAATAGATGGAAATAAATGGCATCGCTGGAGTACAATCAGCAAAATCTATAATAGATAGTAGGAAAATATAGTGTGAATGCCCAGATACTTTAATAACTAAATTAGTTATGTGGATGATGACTGGATCAAACAATCAGTGACAACAAAAATCAGTCTAATCTGTACACTAAATATTTGATAATATTAAGGAATTATTTTTAATTTTTCTTAGGTATGATAATAGTGTTGTTATGTTTAAAAAAGAGTACAAATACTCTTTTAGACATACATACTAAAATATTTACAAATTAAATCATAAATATCTTGTGTTTGCTTCAAAGTAATTTGGGGCAGTAAGAGACATAAATAAAATTGCCATGAGTTCATCATTGTTGAAACTAGGTGATAAATATATAGGAATCCATTATTTTACATATGTTTGAAACTTTCCATAATAAAAAATAAGGAAAAAAATTTCCAGTAAGAAGAAACTTTAAGATTAATAATTTTAGAGAAGGTAATTGAATACTATAATAATACAGATTGTGGTCTGGGCTAAATTAAAACTTAATTGATCATTCAAAAGTCATTACTCGATAACTAGAATATACTTAGAACTCACGAAAATTAGGAAGAAAAAATCAAATAACCCCATTAAAAAGTGGGCAAAGGACTTGAACAGAAAGTTTTCTAAAGAAGACAGAAGAATGGCCAACAAACATATGAAGAAATGCTCAACATCTCTAATCATCAGGGAAATGCAAATCAAAACACAATGAGGATATCACTTAACCCAGTGAGAATGGCCTTTATCAAATCTCCAAACAATAAATCTCCTACACTGCTGGTGGGACTGCAAACTAGTTCAACCTCTGTGGAAAGCAATATGGAGATACCTTAAAGCGATACAAGTGAATCTACCATTTGATCCAGCAATCCCATTGCTGGGCATCTACCCAAATGATCCAATGACACTCTACAAAAAAGACACTGCACTCGAATGTTTATAGCAGCACAATTCATAATTGCAAGGCTGTGGAAACAGCCCAAGTGCCCATCAATCCAAGAATGGATTAATAAAATGTGGTATATGTATACCATGGAGTACTATTCAGCTCTAAGAAACAATGGTGATATAGCACATCTTATATTTTCCTGGTTAGAGCTGGAACCCATACTACTAAGTGAAGTATCCCAAGAATGGAAAAACAAGCACCAGATATATTCTCCAGCAAACTGGTATTAACTAAGTAGCACCTAAGTGGACATATAGGTACTACAGTAATAGGGTATTGGGCAGGTGGGAGGGGGGAGGGGCGGTATATACATAATGATGAGATGTGCACCATCTAGGGAGATGGTCATGATGGAGACTCAGACTTTTGGGGGGAGGGGGAAATGGGCATTTATTGAAACCTTAAAATCTGTACCCCCATAATAAGCCGAAATAAAAAAAAAAAGTCATTACTCCAAAATAATTAGTTTCAGGGAGAAATTCAATGCAAAGAAATAATATAATATGTTGTAAGATATACAAAGGGGTGGGGGGGCAGTTCAAATATTAGGTAACTTCTAGCACTTTTACCTTGAGTTCCAGCCTAGTGGTATTTGCCTGGCACCGATAAGTGGCGAGAAGAAAGTTGTCATTTGACTGGGAAGAATTCAAAATTGAGGAAAAGAATGAATCCATGTTTTTAATAACAAAAACAACATCAATAACAGTTATCATTTACTTGAGTACCTATAATTAGTGCTAAATGCTTTTCGAACATGTTCTCACTTATTCCTATGAACAACATTATGCACACTAAATTTTACTAAGTAAGTTTTAACAGATGAAGAAACTGAGCTTATCAGGGGTTAATTTCCCCAAAGTTAGTAAGTGATGAAAATATGAATTCAAATTCATATCTTTAAGACTCTAAAGCTCATGCTCTTTTCATCTTGGTTTCTACAGCAACATTCTTAAACATTAAGAGTTCTAAAATCTAACGGACAATACAAACACCAAATGTTTATATTATAAACTCATGTACATTAATGTTTGATGTTGAATCTCTGGCCCCTGTCACCATCACCACAACCATGAGCAGCAAGGCCTAGACCCAGCAGCCGCCCGCTGCCCCAGCCCTCAACGCTGCCGACACCAAGCCAGGCAGGGAGCGGTGGCCTGGGGCGGCCTCATATTGGCCGGGGTCTGCTGTCTGGGACAAAGTCATCACAACGAAGGTTTAGGGGACAGTAAAATGGTTCAATGTAAGAAATAGATATGGTTTCATCAACAGGAATAACACCAAGGAAGATGTATTTGCAAACCAGACTACAATAAAGAAGAATAACCCCAGGAAGTACCTTTGCAGTGTAGGAGATGGAGAGACTATGGAGTTTGATACTGTTGAAGGAGAAAAGGGTGCAGAGGCAGCAAATGTTACAGGCCCTGGTGGAATTCCAGTTCAAGTCAGTAAATACGCAACGGACGTTAACCATTATAGACGCTATCCACATCACAGGGGTCCTCCACGCAATTACCAGCAGAATTACCAGAATAGTGACAGTGGGAAAAAGAATGAGGGATCAGAGAGTGCTTCTGAAGGCCAGGCTCAACAACACTGGTGCTATGGCAGGTGAAGGTTCCCATTTACTACATGAGGAGACCCTATGAGTGTGGATCACAGTATTCCAACCCCCCTGTGCAGGGAGAAGCAATGGAGGGTGCTGACAACCAGGGTGCAGGAGAACAAGGTAGACCACCAGTAAGATAGAATATGTATGGAGTTATAGATCATGATTCCGCAGGGGCCCTCCTCACCAAAGACAGCCCAGAGAGGATGGCAATGAAGAGGATAAAGAGAATCAAAGAGATGAGACCCAAGGTCAGCAACCACTTCAATGTCTGTACTGTCACAACTTCAGTTACCCAATTACCAATGCAGAGGCCCAGAAAACCTTAAACCACAAGATGGCAAAGAGACAAAAGCAGCCAATCCACCAGCTGAGAATTCATCTGCTCCCCAGGCTAAGCATGACAGGGCTGAGTAAATGCTGGCTTTACCATCTCTACCATCGTCCGGTTTAGTCATCCAATAAGAAGAAATGAACATGAAATTCCAGCAAAAAGAAATGAAGAAAAGATTGGAGCTGAAGACCTTAAGTGCTTGCTTTCTGCTTGTTGACCAGATAACTAGAACTATGTGCATTATCTATGTAGCATAGGTTTTTTTTTTTATTTTTACCTAAAGATGTCTTTTTTTGATAACAAACATGTTTTTTTAAAAAGCCTGGTTTTTCTCAATATGCCTTTAAAGGCTTTTAAATTGTTTCATAGCTGATCAAGTTGAGATTTTTAAGAACTTCATTTTTAATTTGTAATAAAAGTTTACAACTTGATTTTTTCAAAAAGTCAACAAACTACAAGCACCTGTTAATAAAGGTCTTAAATAATTTTTTTAAAAAAGTAAATATACAACACAAAAAAATGTTAAATGCCTGAGGTGATGGATACCCCAATTATCCTGATTTGATTAATTCACCTGTATGCCTATATCAAAACATCACATGCATCCTATAAAGATATACAACTATTATGTACCCATAATTAAAATGTAAAAATATATATTATATACTCATGTGATTAAAAACAAATGTTGGCTGGGCATGATGGCTTACACCTGTAATCCCAGCACTTTTGGAGTCTGAGGCAGGAAGATTGCTTGAGGCCAGAAGTTTGAAATCAGCCTGGGCAACACATTAAGACCTTGTCTCTACAAAAAGATTTTTTTAAATCAGCCAGATACAGTGGTGCATGCCTATAATTCCAGCAATTCGGGAGGCCAAGAGAGGAAGATCACCTGAGCCCAAGAGTTTGAGCCTGCAGTGACCTAAGACTGAGCAAGACCTTGGTCTCTAAAAAAATAAATAAATAAAAATAAAAATTTTAAAATAAATAAGCCTGGGTGCAGTAGCTCACACGTGTAATCCCAGCACTTTGGGAAGGTGAGGCAGAAGGACTGCTTGAGGCTAGGAGTCTGATATTAGCTTAGGCAACATGGTGAGACCCTATATCTACAAAAAATAAAAAAGTTAGCTGGCCATGGTAGCATGTGTCTATAGTCCCAGCTACTTGGGAAACTGAGCCAGAAGGATCACTTGAGCCCAGGAATTTGAGGCAGCAGTGAGCTATGATGATGCCACTACACTCTAGCCTATGCAACAGGGCAAGCCCCTGTCTCAAAAATAAATAAATAAATATTTAAAAAAAATTTTTAAAAATAAAAATGTTAGTAGTCAAGTATTTAGGGATTGAAATGATAAATCAAATGAAATAATAAGTCTGGGATTAGGTTTGAGAGCAGGGAAGAAGGTGAAGAGCATAAAATAAGGCCTGCCATATATTGAAAATTACTAATAGGGTACACGGAGGTTATTATACTAGTCTTTCTACTTTTGTGTATATTTGAAATCTCCATAACATTTCCTGCTTTATTTTAAAACGTAGTATAAGAAATGAGGAAAAAGAGGTAATACCAGGGCTTCTGCTGTCTTTTATTTTTAAAATGTTCATAATTAACAAGTTTTTCAGGAGTCCAAAGATATAAGTTATCTTACATATAAAATGTTTTATTTTGTTGTTATTTGGTAGGAAAATGGAATCCTTGTTCTTGCACAACTGTAAACATTTTGTTGCTAGATAAAACGATTTGAGACCTACACTGGTCTCTGGTTTCCAGTGCATCACAGCATATTTTATAAAATCATCTACTGCACTTACGCATGAATGGATAGTAGACAAACTCTCAACCTGGAGTGATGAACCTGCTTATACCTAAGGGCAGGAGCAAGCCCCTCACAATGCAGCTTCATGGATTTTTAGTGCCTATGGAATTTTATATATATATGTAGTTGGAAAGATTATTTGAAATGACTAATTTGTGCTATCTTTATGAAATATGCTAAATGTAGCTTTTGGAAACAGAAACCTTGAATTGAAATTTAACTAATACTTGAACATTTTTTTTTTTGAGATGGAGTCTCACTCTGTTGCCTGGGATAGACTGCCATGGCGTCAGCCTAGCTCACAGCAACCTCAAAGTTCTGGGCTCAAGTGATCCTCCTGCCTCAGCCTCCCGAGCAGCTGGGACTATAGGCATGCGCCACCATGCCCAGCTAATTTTTTCTATATATTTTTAGTTTTCCAGCTAATTTCTTTCTATTTTTAGTAGAGACGGGGTTTCACTCTTGCTCAGGCTGGTCTGGAACTCCTAAACTCAAACAATCCACCTGCCTCGGCCTCCCAGAGTGCTAGGATTACAGGTGTGAGCCACTGTGCCTGGCCTGAACATTTTGTATATATTTCTTTGTATATAATTTGTGCAGTACCAATGACAAAAATACGATGTTGTACGTAATAAAACCAGGTTTATTATTAATCTTTCAGTTATGGGCTCAAAGAATTTATTCATCTCTAACATGAAATTGAAAAATAATGGATGAAAATAGGAAAAATTATTATTATTAATAATGAATGTGGGTCTTAATCAAAAGGTTCTGAAAGCAGTAAGTTTGTTTTTTTAAAATTTATACCATTTCCTTGGAATATTTTCTTCCTTATGTCAGTGCTTTTCCTGCATTATTGGAAGTTTTAGGCTGGGGAGAAAGTAGTCAAAGCTTTCTGAATTGGGATGCTTTGAAATTCCAAGTGTAGATTTTTAGAATGTCATTTTATAAATGGCAGTTTTTGGAATTACTAGATTAAGAAATTTTGAAAATGGAAAGATTAGCATGGCCTTTTAAAGCTGCTTTGTTATGTTCCTTATGTTTTGACTATCTTAGTTTCCATTTCATTATTTTTTTCTAGTTTTGGTGACTTAGTGATTTTGTCATTTTTTACATAAACCTCATGGTCTTGTTCTTACATGGTAATTGCATATATTTAGGACCTCTCTAACAGGGGCTTTAAATAAATTTGGTCATATTTATGTATAAGCACATTTTACTGTAAATGGGTTTCTGAATTTATTTTATTTTATTTTACTTTATTTTATTTTATTTTATTTTATTTTATTTTATTTTATTTTATTTTATTTTATTTTATTTTTGAGACAGAGTCTTGCTTTGTTGCCCAGGCTAGAGTGAGTGCCATGGCGTCAGCCTCGCTCATAGCAACCTCAAACTCCTGGGCTCAAGCAATCCTGCTGCCTCAGCCTCCCAAGTAGCTGGAACCACAGGCATGTGCCACCATGCCTGGCTAATTTTTTCTATATATATTAGTTGGCCAATTAATTTCTTTCTATTTATAGTACAGACAGGGTCTTGCTCTTGCTCAGGCTGGTTTTGAACTCCTGAACTCGAGCAATCCACCTGCCTCTGCCTTCCAGAGTGCTAGGATTACAGTCGTGAGCCACCACGCCCAGCCGGGTTTCTGAATTTAAACAGATCTGTTTATTTTGGTATATAGTAAACAATATCTTACAGTGTCCTATTCACTACTTGTTAATTTAAAAAGCTATGATTAATATGAAAAAAAAGTTTTTTTTAAAAAAGCCATTATCCTAGAAGATAGGTTTTAAATTAGTATAAAACAACTCATTTCAGAGAATCCTGCAGTGATATAAGTAAAACAGATTAATCTTTCATAGTAACTTAGGAATCAAAGATTTTAAGTTTATGTTAACTTGATTTTTTAAATGATCTTAAAATTTAGGTCCAAATCTTTTATGTTTTCTTCTCAAACAAGGATGGCAAACCATATACAGGTAACATAATACAATTGTTATAAAATCTCTTATTAAAAAGAAAATGCTTACTATGAATTTTTATTGCAAATTATTCCCTCATATAACTATCAACCTTTTTCTTTATTCTTTTGTTCCTCCTTTTTAAAAATATGTAATTAACTACCCACCAACTCCAGTCACCATCTCCTCCTACTCTGGTTTGCATTCTCCAATGCAGTTAATCCAGACCTTATCTTTACCCTAACTTCTCTTCAGAAGTCACACCTAACTCTGAGACTGCTTGTCTCCTAGTACTAAGCAGAAAGGAAGTGATACAGTAAGCAGGTCCAAAAGCACTGACATGATCTCATCATAGGTACTTTGCACATAGTAAGTGCTCAATAAATGTCTGTTGAATGAAGGTTAAGCACACATTGAACAAGCCCAGAAAAAGTGGGGCAGACCAGGAAGAGCGGGGGAAGGAATAGATCATGTTCAAATGCAAAGATGTGTGAAACTGTATAGCATTTTCAAGAAATTTTAAGAACTTCAATTTGGCAGAAATAATGTGCATGGGAGGGGAAGTAGCAGCTGGTGACAAAGAAGTTGGAAATTTAATCAAGAGCTGAATCATGGAAAGTTTTCTATGCTGCAATAAGGAATCTAGACTTATATCCACCAGGAAATAAGGAATATTTGCAAGGTTTTGAGAAAGAAATGATAACATAATGTTCTGTTTTAGGAAGACCTCTCAGGTGGCCAAGGTACAGCATAGCCTAGAGGCCGAGAAACTGATAGAGTAAGTAGTTCAAACACGACATGATGAGAGCCCAGACAAAGTTAATAGAAGTGGGAATGAAGCCAAGTAGAGGTATGACAGCCATGGAAGTAAAACTGACAACTAGTCAACTAGTGACTAACTGGATACATGGGTTAAGCATCCCAAATTCAAAAATCTGAAATCTGAACTTCTCCAAAATTCGAAACTTTCTAAGTACCAACACGACACTCAAAGAAAATGCTAATTGGAATATTGTAGATTTCAGATTTTTGAATCCACGATGCTCAATCAGTAAATATAATGCAAATATTCCAAAATCCAAAAAAATCTAGAATCTGAAACACTTGTGGTCCTAAGCATTCACATAAAGGATATAAACCTATAACAGATCAGAGAAAAGAAGGAATCTAGGACAACACCCTGGTTTCTGGATTATCTGAGGACAGGGAAAGAGAACAGAAGCAGATTTTAAGGGAAAGGTTATGTAAGAAATGATTGAAAAAGAAACATCAAACCCTAGTAGCATTTATAGACTTTAATCCAATGGCATAAAGAAATAAAAGCATGTGAAGAATTCTTTATACTTTTTACTCACCTCAGAATCACAGCTGCTAAAGCTAACAACAGCAGAGTTTTTATCCACATCAAGTAAATCTATTGGAACATCACTCTACAGTCAATATAAAAAAAAAAAGTTCACATGGAATACCTAAAAATGTTCACATATTACGTTTTCTCTAAGTGTTCTCTTTAGTTCTAATTTAAGTTCATCTTCAAATTCAAGAGTTCTCTTAATGGATATTTGACAGTACATACTTCTAGAAAACAAAGAAAGAATATTACTTTATAATTACCTATTTTTTTCTAATTTGGATTATCCAAAATCATAAAATATCATCTCTCATATCCTCTTAAAAGTACAACCTTGCTACTTATTTTTGTCAATGCTAAAAATGTTACCATGAGCTGTAAATAATCATATGGCCATTCTGATTATATCAGTTCATTTTTATCAATTTTAATTTTACCCGAAACACAGAAAGAAGATAATTTTTTTCTTCTCTGGAGCAGTTTCTAAGACAAAGCTGTTGCATCATATTATGTGTGAATGCCACTCTTAGAGTTGTTCAATGCAACAGCCGGAGCTAGCATTACTTGAGAGTTTTCTGCCTTTAAGTTTTACTTAATAATCTGACCTCTCCATAACATCTTTGTAAATCTTGTATTCTTTCTCTAATTTATTATTTTCTCATTTTTTGATGGGTTTACTATCTTTTGCTTGTTTTACATTCATCCTATCATCCTTTTCTACTTCTTGAATATCTTCCAATTTAAATAAGTAAATATATATAGTGATAAATGGAGTTGTACATTATTATCTCTAAATTTCACCCTTTGGGATTATCTACTTTGCCTGTTAACCTACCTAGAAACTATTAGGTTAATGAGCAAACTGTACTGTAAGATATCATTTTAGTGTCTGGGGCTTTTTAAAGAAGTTCTAATAAAGGCATTAAATACAGTAGTTTTCTAAGTCACATCTGTGTTAAGATTCTCCCAGATGATAGCTAAAGAAGAAAATCCTAACTGTCCTTTTCCTGAAAATTAAGTACATCTTTTGTTTGTTTATTAAGTATAGGGCAAATAAAAGTAATGATATAATTCCAATAAATTATGAGCAAACTGATTATCTAATAGAAAACTAAAAAGTCATAAACATTCAAAATACTAACACTAAAAGCATTCAATAATAATTAGTGCTTATGATTAGTTTGCAAAATAGATCCAGTCATATAACTAAGAAAGTAGATATTTTGCTTACCTGTATTAAGACATTATCTATTGCAGTCTGCACCTCTAAGATAAGGGTGTAGCTGGCATCATCTTTATTTAATGTAAATTTGTCATTTATGCTAAATGAAGGTACTACTGATTTTGCTTTGCTTGATTGAGAATACTGTTGATAGTTCTCTCTTTCTTGCAACACTTTATACTGCAGATGTTCCAGCTCACTCCTAGAGGAAAATATATACAACTTTGTCACCTGTAAGTATAAACATTTGAAGTCTTCTGAATGTTTACAAAAATTTGAGACATTTGCTTTTGCAAAATGTGTTTTATTGGTTGAGCTAGAACTACAACAACAATAGGAACAAAATTTTTGTTTCTATGACTGACCAATGATTCTACATTATTTATCCCTAATCCAAAAATTAAAACATCTTCTCAGTCCCACACCAGCAAAATTAATCAAGAATTTAAGCATCAAGGCAGGTTGCAAATAATCAATTCTAACACATGAAATCTAGTAACAGTTGTATACATTAATAGTACTAATCAGAAGAGAAACTAATATGCAGAAGATCATATTAGACTTAAGAAGAAGAAACAAAATGTGGTGAACCCAGTAAATATGTACCTTTCAATAAGACATTAAGGTAGGCGAACAAAATAAGGAGGAAGCTGCAAGTTTTAAGATTTGTGGGATCATAAAGATGATCATGGGTGAGGCGCAGTGGCTCACGCCTGTAATCCTAGCACTCTGGGAAGCTGAGGTGGGAGGATCGCTTGAGGTCAGGAGTTCAAGACCAGCCTGAGCAAGAGCAAGACGCTGTCTCTACTAAAAATAGAAAAATTTTGCCAAACAACTAAAAATAGAAAAAATTAGCCAAGCATGGTGGCGCATGCCTGTAGTCCCAGCTACTCAGGAGGCTGAGGCAGGAGGATCACTTGGGCCTAGGAGTTGGAGGTTGGTGTGAGCTAGGCTGATGCCACAGCACTCTAGCCCAGGCAAGAGAGTGAGACTCTCTGTCTCAAAACAACAACAACAACAACAAACAAAAACGAGATGATCATGAACTAGAGGCACAGCTTAAGTTCTACTAAGTGTTAGAGAGGATTTTGCTGAGATTGTACAAGTATTGCTTAGAGTAGCTCCAGTTAAGGGGAAAAGCCACATGCAAATGAAGTTAATAGTAACTAGGGTAGCACATGAGGCTTAGCTAGCCCCATTTTAGGTAGAAAAGTCTGGGGAGGAGATTGGAAGGGATTTCTGCAATGAACAAAGGAAAAGCTTCATTTATCCAAGGAATATTTATTGCTAAATATTACATATTTACTCCTATGTAGCAAGCAATATTCCAGGTATTGAATGAATAAAACAAACAAAACTTCTCAGAAAGATTACATTCCAGTGGAATCGAGGTGGGTAGATTTGATTATAAATAAAAGGTACTGTGATAAGGAACCTGCAGCCTCAGTGCCACATGTGGCTTTCCAGATCCCCAAGTGCAGGCCCTTAACTGAATCTAAACTTCACAGAACAAATCCCTTTATTAGAAGGATTTGTTCTATAAAATTTGGATTCAATCAAAAGGCCACCCTCAAGGATCCAGAACAAACAGCTTGCTGTCCTGGTGGCTTTGGAGAACTGGTTGTGCTACTAGTAGTTGCGACATTTTCTGCCTTAAAAGTTTCTGAACCCTTCAACTGTCACCAAAAAAAGATCAGCCCTCATTTACACAAGAGCTTAGCAGAGGCTGAAATGGGCCAAGCAGTCATTAAAAATTTCAGCAACTCCCACTTTTTCATTGTATGAAGCAACTACATGAGTCTAGGGTTCCTTTTCACAGGACATGTCAAATTAAGCAGGCCATGAAAGCAATCCCTGCATCTAAGGGAATCAATGTTACTCAGTTCCAGTAAGAAAACTTAAAACTAGCAGCATAGTTTCAGAGAGTCAGTGAACATTAGAGTTAATGACAAACACAGCCATCTGTGTTGGTTTCTTTCTAATGTCTGTGAAAAACAAAAACTATCCATGACCAAACAAATGGAAAAAAACAATAACAATTCTTGATCTATGAAAAAGTCAATACAGAATAAAGCATACAAAAGTATATTTCTAAATCCAAAATATTAATCGTCACTGCTAATTTTCTCAAACCCATAAACTTTCATTTTAAAAGGTGATAAACTAATTATATTATTCCTTCCAATAAAATATACTGCATCTATAAGTAACAAAAAGCAACAACCATACATTTTATGAGATGGAAGAAAAAAAGCAAACAAAAAGCTCAATGTTACCGTAAAGAAGAAATTTTATTCTGCATCTCCTGATTGATTTTTAGTTCTTCTCCTGGTCCACTTTCCTTATGAATTGGCTCTGTTGTCAGACCTGTAACCCAGCCTATAAAGATGAATTACAACCATGCACCATTTAGTACTGCCGGTGTTAAAAGAGATATATTATACATTGTAGAGCAGAAACCCCAAGACATGCCCCTTTGTCCACCAACATTAACCTAACATAGCCTAACTACTTTAAAAAATGAAACAAAGCATAAAATCAAGCTGGAAAACATTCAAACTATGAAGAAATTACTTAATCTGAAGCAAGAACTGCGTCCTAAAAAAGAAAAAAAAATTACTTAAGCATTTTGTGATACTATTTTTTTTTGCTTGCATACTATAATACTATGATTATGAGAGTCTTGCACGTCTTAACAGTTTTAGTTTTCAAGTATGAATTAAGTCAACACATTCTAGCAAATTCAAAAATAGTTGAAAAATATGAATTGTCTTTCAAAAATTACTTTCATGGAAATTTAAACTCACATATGACTATTGTGCAAATGCAAAAATTATCTACTCAAAAGCAAGTTTTTATAAGAAATGCACATAGTGCAAAACATAAACTACATTTCAATAAATACTTCTCCTTAAAGAATGTCATTTAATACTTAAAAGTGCTAGAGACATGCTAAGCACTCTTAAAAATATTATTCAAATATTAACTATTTTATAAATCAAGAAGCCTAATCTCCCTCCTTATTTTTCAACCAATAAAGTTTTTAATGCTGTAGGTAAGAATGATTTACTAATACAGTAGTGGTATCCCCTTCCATGGTATTAGTTACCCAGTCAATGGCTGCCTGAAAATATAAAATGAAAATTCCAGAAATAACTTTATAAGTTTTAAACTGCATGCCATTCTGAGTAGCATGATGAAAGCCATCTGGCTCCATCTGGCCCTGAATATGAATCATCCCTTTGTCCAGTGTATCCCCCACTGTATTCACTACCTGTTTGTTAGTCACTAGAAGGCATCTTCATTATTAGATCAACTGCTGTGGTATGCAGTGCTTCTGTTTAAGTTATTTTACTTAATAAGGGCCCCAAAGCACAAGAGTAGTGATGCTGGAATATTGTTATAATTGCTCTATTTTATTATTAGTTATGGTTGTTAATTGCTTACTGTGCCTAATTTATAAATTAGATTTTTATACATAGGTATGTAAGTATAAGAAAAAATACATTATATATAGGGTTCAGTACTATCTGAGGTTTCAGGCATCCACTGGGGGGTCTTAGAACATAGCCCCTGTGGATAAGGGGAAACTACTGTAATACTTTGTAAAAAGTTGTCATCAAAAGTTATTTACTAAATTTAGATTTTTTGTTATTGAATCTTTCTTCAACTACCTATCATTTACTTTACCTGAATATGTGGACACCACAATTTCATCATAGCCATCTTTCCCTACACAACCACCCTGGATAGATGTGACACTTTCAGACAACATCTAGAAAAATTTAAGACAAGCACATCATCAGTAACTAAAAATTTCCCAGATATGTTAAATTAAGTCACATAACTTATTTTCCTGTATCCAGACATTCTACATGCATTATTTATTGAATGCTTATTGTGTACAGACACTGAGATTAGAAAGACAAAATCTTGAACAAATGGCAGAAAACTGCAGTGGTTTTTTTTTTCTTTTTTTTCTTTTTTTAGAGACGGGGTATAGCTCTATCACCCAGGCTGGAGTACAGTGGCGTGATTGATCATAGCTTGCTACAGCCTCAAACTCCTGGGCTTCAAGCAATCCTCCTGGCTCAGTCTCCAGAGTAGCCAGGACTACAGGCACATTCCAACACATCCAGATAATTAAAAAAATTTTTTTAGAGACAGGGTTTCACTATGTTGCCCTGGTCTTGAACTCCTGGGCTCAAGCAATCCTCCTATCTTAGCCTCCCAAAGTGCAAGGATTTTAGGTATGAGCCCCTGTGCCTGGCCAGGATTTTGAACTTGGGTAGGGAGACTTGAAATGACTCTAGTATATCTGTATGTACCACTCAGCTAACACTATAATCATCTAGTGAGCACAAATTATTTATTTATATAAACAAGTTTTTTTTTTTAATTATATAAGCAAAACTCCCAGTAAGTTTAGTTTATTATCTCTCTTGTGTTTTCTCCAAATAGTTTTTTAGATGCATAAAGAAGATGATAGCCTATATGGAACCTTTAGGAAATCTGCTACTATGGAGAGAAATCAAGTTTCTCAGATGGCTCACGGTTTATAATAACCATCTTCTAAGTAATACTTCCCAAGCTTGCCTTTCACAATCACTTAGGTAAGTCAACTAGGAATCTGTATTTTTAACAAGCATTCTAGGTCATTGGCTTCCAAGCTATTTGGAAAGCAAGCAATAAACTGCATATTGCAATCTGGTATACATTCACACATGAATGTACACAACAACGTATAAAACTTAAAAGGTTTGTGTTGCACTCTGATATATTCTAATCTATTCTATTAATAATATTTCATTTTTTAAAAAAATGCATTGGCAACCCACTAACTGGTTTTGACTAGCAGTTTGAAAAACTCAGGTAGAAATTCTTATCAAGCCAGGCTAAGACCATTGTTTTATTTGTTTAATTTTTTTTGTAGAGACAGAATCTCACTATATTGCCCAGGTTGATCTTAAACTCCTGGATCAAGCAATCCTCCCAAAGTGCTAGGATTACAGAGGTGAGCTACCAGGCCAGAACCATTGTTTTAAGTGGGTGGAGGGTGACTAGCATTAAACTAGACAATTAGCAAAATGCTCTTCTCTTCATCTACCCTGTAGGAGGCAAACCTCTGTGCTATCCTGCAAATTAGGCTATCTTATATCTTAGTTGTTCCTGGGGCTAATTACCTGAGAAATTCAAGAAACAATGCTTTGATTAGACGTCTAATGAAGTTAGATTCACAGGTGGGGTCAAATACCTGCATTTTGAACAAGTGTCCCAGTCAATCATACATAATAGAAGTCTTCAAACTGTCATTTTTACATAATAAGCCCTGATCAACCTTGGTCACATAATGATGTTGATGAGAATAAAAGAAATTTTGTGACAGAAAATTCACCCAATTGCTTAAACATCTTCTAAGTTATCTACCTAAATCACCAACTAATCTACCACCCCAAGTATTTTTTTTTTTTTTGAGACAGAGTCTTGCTTTGATGCCCAGGCTAGAGTGAGTACCATGGCATCAGCCTAAATCACAGCAACCTCAAACTCCTAGGCTCAAGCAATCCTGCTGCCTCAGCCTCCCGAGTAGCTGGGACTACAGGCATACGCCACCATGCCCGGCTAATTTTTTCTATATATTAGTTGGCCAATTAATGTCTTTCTATTTATAGTACAGATGGGTCTTGCTCTTGCTCAGGCTGGTTTTGAATTCCTGACCTCGAGCAATCCGCCTGCCTAGGCCTCCCAGAGAGCTAGGATTATAGGCGTGAGCCACCGCGCCTGGCCCCCAAATGTTTTTTAATGACACACATACACCATCTAACAACTTAGTTAGGTCCTCCTTTAATTTATTGAATGCAAAACACTAGAAATCACCTGACTTGCAGAAAGATGATTTAATTTACCCAGTCAACTGGTTTACATACATTCTTACTTGCTGAGTGGTTTTTCAAGTGACTGTTATAACTTTTACTCTCCACCTAGAAGTACCTTAAAAACTGTTCATTTCTAATACATTTTTGCCAATATTTTAATGAAATTCATTATCTTATGTACTTTAAATACATTTTTGTAAAATTCTTGGAGATGTAGATTTATCTAAATCTATTAACATTTAAAAAAAAACAGTCATGGAACCATAAAATCAGAGACCCTAGATGATATTGTATGGATACAGTTTATGTAAGAAAATAACATGGAATTAAACTTACAACCTTGGTCATCCCTGAAAATACTGGCAAATGAGTATATAAGTTTAAGTTAAAATACAATAAATTCAAGATGAGGCAAATTATTCCCAGCCTAAGCATAACGTAAAAGTAGTACCTCTGTCATCAGACTAACAGAAGAAATAGAGAGAAGATAAGATTTCTTAGTGCCAGGCCTATCATAGCAGGTAAATGGGGGTTTAGAATTGAAGTCAAAGAGGAGAATGGGGTCTAAATAAGAAAGTTTCTCAAGGGCTGGTGAGAAAAAACAGTAGATCATCAACAAAGGATTATTACATACTTTGAAGCCTAAACTATTACTTGCATCATTAACAGGATGACTTTTTTCAACAAGGTGAATAAATTTAAAATAAATCTATAAAATAAGCTCAACTGTGTAACATTTTTATCCTCATATTAGCTATATATTTTACCTATGCTCCAAACCACTTGTATTTGCTGAACTGTAGTTAAACTAAGTTGGGATTGGGATGTACCACTATTAAGAGAAATTAGAAGAAAAAAAAAAAAAAAGAAAAGAGTTGAGACTGAGTTGTGGACTTTTTCTTTTGTTAATAGCCTCAGTGTTTCCTGCATAAGGCAGGCTGGTGAAGCCCTGGATTGGAGAACACCAGTTCATGAATTTATGCCAGAATGCTTCTGTATATGACTTTATAGCTTGGCACAAATAAGCTTACTTACATTTATAGTTTATAAAGTTACTTTATCTAGTCTTTCTTCTTTTTTTTTTTTTGAGACAGAGTCTCGCTTTGTTGCCCAGGCTAGAGTGAGTGCCATGGCATCAGCCTAGCTCACAGCAACCTCAAACTCCTGGGCTCAAGCAATCCTCCTGCCTCAGCCTCCCAAGTAGCTGGGACTACAGGCATGCGCCACCATGCCCGGCTAATTTTTTGTATATATATTAGTTGGCCAATTAATTTTTCTATTTATAGTAGAGACGGGGTCTCGCTCTTGCTCAGGTTGGTTTCGAACTCCTGAACTCAAACGATCCGCCCGGCTCGGCCTCCCAGAGAGCTAGGATTACAGGCATGAGCCACCGCGCCCGGCCTAGTCTTTCTTCTTATAAAGTTGGCACTTCAGTAGCTAAAAGTGAACATGCTACTTTTCCTCTCTGCTTAAGGACATTTCTGATACTGTCCTAACAATATGAAGGTTATTCCTAAAATCTTATTGCTTTAAAACAAGTCTCAGGGGGGAGGGGGGCATGGGCAATATATGTAACCTTAACACTTGTACCCCCATAATATGCTAAAATAAATAAATAAATAAAACAAGTCTCATTTATATTAACGAAACATATAAAATGTTACTCCCACCACTGTGTTATTATACATTAAAAACTAAAATATTTAATATTTTAGAAGTTTATAATATTTAAAAGTATAATGAAAAAGTAATATATTATTCTGCTTGAAGGCAGTAGTCTATTATTCAAACATAAGAGTAGTTTAAAGATTCTGATAACATCAAAATAGCAATATTTTAAACCAAACATAACAATTTAACATTCTCACTTATTAAAATTCAACCCATCAGTCATCTGTATAATAATTTGACAAATAATAAGCACATATAGTCTTTGTTTAATGAACCTTACCTGATCAAATCGTAGAACAGGCTCCTTTGCATTATCAAAACTATATACTGCCACCATTCCATCATCTCTCCCAACAAGCAAATCTTTAACCCCATCACCCACAATATCAAAGCTGTCAATACACAAAATACCTTAAAAAAAAAGATATGTGATAAGTTATTAAGAAAATAGTTATAGTCAAGTACATACCAAGTAAGAATGAAAAAATACATATACCAACTCAGAATGGGGGAAGAAACAACTTTTAGCATAAGCAGGTACCCTTCTCTTATCTAGCCACATTTATCTAATTTCCAGGGCTTTAAATATTAAATGTAATCTACATGGCAATGACCCCTAAGTTTACATCTCCCTCCAGCTCTGGCCCCTCCTCAGAGCTCCAGACCCATAAATCCAATTCAGCATCTTCTCATAAACATCTGCATCTCAAACTTTCCATGCCCCAAACAAAACTCTCAATCTCCTCTTTAGCACCCCACCCCTTGCAATACTGCTCCTTTGCTAGTCTTTCCCATCTTAGTAAATTATACCACCCAGTTGCACAAGTCAAAAATCTTGGCTACATCTCTGATTTCTGTCTTTTTCTCACACCCCATCCCCACATATCAAATCCACTAGCAAATTCTATCTGTTCTACCTCCACAATATATATTGAATTTGTCTTCTTTCCATTTCCAGCTACCATGAGCCTGGACTACCCTAGCCTTGACTAGAATAAATTATAACTATAACTTCTTTTTTTTTTTTGAGACAGAGTCTCACTCTGTTGCCCAGGCTAGAGTGCTGTGGCATCAGCCTAGCTCATAGCAACCTCCAACTCCTGGGCTCAAGCAATCCTGATGCCTCAGCCTCCCGAGTAGCTGGGACTATAGGCATGTGCCACCATGCCCGGCTAATTTTATATATATATATATATATATATATATATATATATTTTTAGTTGTCCAATTAATTTCTTTCTATTTTTAGTAGAGATGGGGTCTTGCTCTTGCTCAGGCTGGTCTTGAACTCCTGAGTTCAAATGATCTGCCCACCTCGGCCTCCCAGAGTGCTAGGATTACAGGCGTGAGCCACCGTGCCCAGCTTAACTATAACTTCTAACTGGCCTCCATGCTTCCAATTTTGACCTCCTTCCCCCAAATCCATTCTCCATGCAGTGTACTTTGTTTTGCTTTCAGTAAATTAGATCATGTCACACCCACCCTTACAATTCTCCAATGACTTCCTACTGTACTCAGATTAAAATTTACTCTTCCAAGGCTTATGAGGACCTACACAAGTTGGCTCTACACTTAACTCTCTGATTTCATCTCCTGCCATGTTAATACATTTAGGCACACTGGTCTTCCTATTGTTCTTCAGATGAATCAAGTTTGCCTCTGCCTCAAATCCTTTGCACTTATTTTGTTCTCTTACTAGAACATTCTTTCCCCTCAAATCTTCATATTGCTAACTCTTTTTCTTATCAATCATGTCTCAGCTCAAATTTTGCCTCTTCTCAGAGGCTTTCTTTGACCACCTAAATGTAGTCGAAAAGTAGCCCTTCTTTTTCCACCATCACTCTTGAATTCATTGCCCTATAATGTATTTTTATCAAGTGACTAGGTGAAGCTACTTCATGTTTTAATTAGTTTAGACTCTGTGTCCCCTAACAAGTATTTGAAGGAATAAATGAATATATGAATATATAAACATGAATATATACACATGAATATATATGCAATGAATATATAAACATTCTGTACATATAAATAGCCATCTCACTACCTACCAAGTCAGTTATAAAGTCTCCTCCAAAAGGTATAAATTCCTTAGAAAACAAGAATTATTCCTGACCCCACTACACTACTTCTTTGCCTCATACCAAAGACTTCCAGATTTCAATTAATTCCCTACCCCACACAATAAAAAATGGATTTTAGCATAGAATGGGGAACCTTATAAAAGCTATCTATCCCCAATTACTATAAGCATTTCTTACTTTAGCAGACCTAAGAAACAGTAGATAAATCAAAGGTGGCTCTGTGAATTGCTAAATCTGCTATATATGAATAAATAAAACACAATGAATTATATAATCTAAGATATTTTACTTAAGAAACATTGAAATTTCAGAGTCTGAAATACATCAAAAGCATACCTCCCCTCTTTTTTTCATTTTGAATTTGCCACTTGAGTATTGGTTTGGGTGTAGTGACCTGAATAAGCCCAAGTTTTCCATCTGATGTTCCAAACAAAAAGTCTTCTCCAGAGTCACCTAGTTATAAAGTCAACATATTATATTTGTACTACAATTCATAGTATCTTTAAAATTACAATATTTTCATGTAAAAATCTCATTTTTAAAGGTATTATAAAAGGACAGAAAACTTAAATTTGGGAGCATGGTTATATAGTCACAGAATTTTATAACCGTTAAGAGTTAAGACCCTTCCCCATCATCTAATTTCAAGATGAAGAAACTGAAAATTAAAGTTCAATAACTCATTAGTGTTAGTTACTGGCAAGTTATCAGAACACAACTTTCTCAATTCTAGTTCATGTCCTTTCTAAACTTCCCCATTTTCACTCAATGTTTTTTATAAACACCTAATTGATTGTGAAAAATGAAATCCTGATTACCGCCATTTCCATTGTGTAGTGCTAAGACAGTAGGTGGGCCAGAAATTTCGACTTCATGCATTACATCGGATCCCTGAAGGAGAACAAGTATTTAATAACTGAAAAAGAATACATATTTAAAATAATATAGGCATTCATGGGTAACATCAATATTCAAATATGGTACTCTTAATAACATCTAGAATAAAACTGCTGGCCAGGTGCAATGGCTCATGCCTGTAATCCTAGAACCTTGGGAGGTTGAGGCGGGAGGATCACTTGAGGCCAGGAGCTCAAGACCAGCCTGCACAACATAGCGACAACTTATCTCTACCAAAAAAAAAAAAGAGGTAATACTTATAATACTAACACTGAAAACATATCCACAATATATTCAAAGAAAAAACAATTTGCAAAATTATAGTAAATATATTTTTGTTTTTTAAAAAATTTATATTTAGAACATATGAGAACCATATGCTTTATCTTTAATTTAAAATACCATTTTAAAATTTATAGACATCAGCTGGGCGAGGTGGCTCATGCCTGTAATCCCAGCACTCTGGGCGGCCTAGGGGGTGGATCACTCAAGGTCAGGAGTTCAAAACAAGCCTGAGCAAGAGTGAAGACCCTGTATCTACTAAAAAATGGAAAGAAATTAATTGCCCAACTAAAAATATATAGAAAAAATTAGCCGGGCATGGTGGCGCATGCCTGCCTGAAGTCCCAGCTACTCGGGAAGCTGAGGCAGGATTGTTTGAGCCCTGGTGTTTGAGGTTGCAGTGAGATAGGCTGACGTCACAGCACTCTAGCCCAGGTAACAAAAAAATAAATAAATAAAAATAAAATAAAATTTATAGATATCTATACATAACTATATAAATACAAAATATACACAAAACTGTTAAGAAGTAAATTCTGGGGTAATAGATTGCCTACATGAGCAGATAGGGAGTACGGGAGAAGTGTGCAGGGAATAGGGAAAAACTTCAACTCTACTTTCTCCAAATCCTTAGTGGTTTTTTTTTAAGCACTAAGCATATGGATCTCTTCTTATAAAACAAAACAGAATCCTAGAATTGAGCCAGATCAATTTTTAATGGATATTAGCCTGTTTCTGTTAGAAGCCATTTTCAAACAACTCATATTTGAAACTATAGGCCAAGGGAAGAAATTAATTATTCATACCTCTAGAATAAACCTCGACCATTACTTTGCCCACAGGGGGTTAAAATCCTCATAGACTCACTAGAGTTTTCTTTCTACAAAACAGCTGATGCCAAGAAATGGCCAGCTGGCTATGAAATTCCAAGAGAGAGATATCCTGAGATGGCACGGACTTCACAGTGAAACTTTTTGATCAACTGCATCAACTATTATCAGCCTAAGTTTCTGATCTAATTAATCTACATATTATATGCTATTTAGATTTAAACTTTATTGTAAGGGTCCTATAGTGTGTGCATGTGTATGTGTATTTTATTAAAAGCCACTCTCAAGACACAGTGGCAACTAATATTAGGAATAACAATGACCTGAAGCAATTGTTTTAGCCAATTATGTTTTTTACCAGAAATATAAGGACACCAAAATGATTTTCCCCCATCACTCATTTACCTATCCAACAAATATTTACTGAGTACTTACTTTAATCTACATATTGTCAAAAATGCTGGATAAACTCGTTATATAACACCCTCTCCCCAACCCAATTTCCTCCTTTAATTTGATTTTTTGAGGAAGGAGAGGGTAATGGATGAAGAAAACAAAACAAAATAAGGCTAGGAAAGCTTCTCTGTAGCTAAAGTACTCCATTCTGATTGTACTAGCTCAGAAATTGTGGATTGGAAAGGGAAGTTTCCTTTTCCTTCCATATACGCCTCTCCAAAAACTTGTGAAAGATTTCAACACATTTGATTCAATTTAAAAAATGTATCATTTAAATTATTTAAAACATTTTCTCAGATATAATTTTATGTAGGACACTAAAGTAGTAATCACTAAAGTAATTTATTTCAAATATATTTATCAATATTCATTTACCTAAAATATGAAAAATTATAAAAATGCAAGTAACAGCAACCTGTAAAACTCTGAGCATTCTGTCTTGACAAGCCAATATTGGTACAATACGAGGTAATCTTTCCACTGGAAGGCAGATGACATCATTGATTTTATCCCCACAAAGGTAATAATGTTGGTCTTTGCAGTCACAGTAATGGTTATAGATGTAACTTGCACTGAGAAAGAGGTCTGAGCCAGATATGTGCCTGAGAACATTAAAATAGTAATTTAACACAACCATATTTCTGAAAATAAGCACAAGTAACTCGTGAATTTTTTTCAGAGATGAAAGCAAAAGTTTATTTACATAGTTTACTATCACTGTATCACATACTTAGAGAACACAATTTATTTTCATTTCCCCAGTTAATTTCTAGCCTTTTTGGTTTAATACTGTTTTCAATTTCAAAAACTGAAAATGAGGATCTTAAGGCCTCATGCTTCTCAATAAAAGCTGAGCTCAGAAAAACTGAAAACAAAGACAAGATAATGATTTAATTGTCTATATCAAAGACAGTTGTCAAAAAGTAACTTTTTTGTACACTATGCGCCAATCACTGTCCTAAGTGATTTACATGTATTAGCTCAATTAATACTTATAACCCTATAAACCAGAGACTATTATTGTTCCTTTTTACAAGTGAATAATAAAATGTTAATTAACTTGCCTACTGGCACATAACTAGTAAGTAGGAGACTGGATTGCAACTCAGGTAGTTTTAATCTCTAGAGTTAGCTTGTTTTTTTGAGACAGGGGTCAAGTTCAAGTGAATCTCCTGCCTTATGTTCCAAGTACTTGGGACTATAGGTGTGCGCCACTGTACCTGACTTAGCTTTCTTACAACCACATTAAATTGCCCAGAAAAATCTATTTTAAGTGAATCTACTTCAAATTAAATGAGAAGCAGTAGAAAAATGATTTTATTATAACTTTATCTTGAAAAAACATGAAATCAAGTTTATTTCAAATTATATTTAACAAAATTTAGGCAACATACAACTATGTTCTAATTCTTAGACTGAATCAATTTTTGCTTGGGGAAGCTGAAATTTTTGGACAAAAGTTATATACTAGTATATCTTTCACTTCTAGATTTCTATCACCATATGATCAAAAAGAGGGTAATTTTATTTGAAGCTTTCAGCTATTCCTCTACCTCCAAGGTCTATTTAAAATTTTTTATATTAAAGTTATTCTTTGAAAAGCTTATCCTTTAATGATTTTCACTGATGTTTCTCTTCAATTATTAAGTGGTCTCACTTTGTGGCTCTGCATGTGATTGAGCAGTTTTCTTAAAATCATTTTTATCAACCTCACGAAATTCTTTATCTTTTTCAAGATTTGCAATTCCATTTTGAATAAATCTGCATTATATTGGCCAAAGTACTATTTAGCAATTACTGTTGTTGACAAGAGTAGGGACAGATGGCAGCATTAAGAAAGGAAGGATGTGTGATGACCAATGATGTAAGTGGTCAGTTTCCTTACTCAATATTTTCAAGTAATAATCTTTGTTTTCCTATAAAACTTTATAAATGTGGGGATTCAGAAAATCAATTTTCAAAAACTGAGTAAAGAACTTTTCTATCCCACTTCTTCCATTCTAATAAAAACATTTAAGAAACTATTATAGTTAAAGAAATTATTACTGGGAAACTCCTTATCTTCTTCATACCATTATTCACATATCTCTCTAAATATATTAATGTATTACTTTGATTTTAGTATTTCACAATTATCATTGGCCATGTGTATTTATAAGAGTATTTCAGAAGTGTCACATTCTTTTTAAACCACTTGAAATCACATACTTCTACTTCCAACAAGCAAAAGTTTCACAGCTCAAACATCAAGAGATGTGCTGTGCATTACACAGAACTCCAGACTGAATTAGTAGTTTCTAAACCCAGGAGTCTGGTTGCTTATACAAGTTAGCTGCATCAGATTCAAATGAAGAACTTTAAACACAAGAAACCACTCTTGATTATTCTGATTCAGCAGGTATGAGGAGGTGCAACAAGGAATCAATTGTTTAAGCGTCCCAAGGGATCTTCCTAAGTAGCAGGTTTGAGGAACAGGGTATAAGCTGAACTTTAAAGCCCTTTCCAGCTTGTCATGATTCAAAAACTAAAATTTTAATTGCAAAATTTCAAATATCAGGAAACCATTAAGGGAGCTATTTTTCACTTAGAGTCTTACCTGATTCACCTGAAATTATACCCTATTGGTAGTTACCAACTTTTGACAGCCAGCTTTTTAACATAATGATGATACCTCAAAATAAAAACTACCAAAGATAGCCAAGGAACATGAACCTAAATATCTAGAAATTTCTCTCAATTTTTCCTCCATACCTTGATCAAGAATCAAAACTGAACCAAGTAGTCAAAAATGAATGTATAAATACTGTAAGATTCTTAAAAAGAAAACATTTTAACAACCAATTTTATACTGATTCTAGGTCAAATTTAGTTTCTGACTAATACCTTTAGTAAATTTTATTTTCCAGAAAACCTATTAAGATATGATGCTTAATCAGATGCCCTACATCTATCCAAAATATTGTAAATATGTAAAAATTTAAAAAATAAACATACATAGCTTTAATGCTTTCAGTGAGGTTTGTTTCAAAAGAGAGGAATTGTTTTCCTCTCTTTGTGAAGCCTCTAATCTCAGATCCCGCAGCAATAAATATTCTTTCCTGAGGTGCGTTAAGAACCCCTCCTAGTTCCAGCCTTGCAATCTTCTGTCCTGGTAAAGTCTTGAACACTGCCTGCAAAAATCATTTTGGAAAAAATTACACAAATTATCTTATCATAAGCATTTCCTTTTACCATAAAAAAATCTTCATTTTAAACTTACAAAATGCTATTGTTCTACTACATAAAAACAACTATAGATAATAATCTATTTAGTGGGTCTTCAGGTATTTTGCTAAATATCCTTAAACTTTGGACCAGATATTCCTATAAATATAATATTTTTATTACATCATTGAAAACCTACACTCTTACAAATCAAAGTAGGGTTCACTAAACAGCAACATTAGTATCACTATATTTATTCAAAATGTAGAATATAAGGCTCAACCTGGCCAGGCACAGTAGCTCACACCTGTAATCCTAGCACTCTGGGAGGCCAAGGTGGGCGGATTGTTTGAGCTCAGGAGTTCGAGACCACCTAAGCAAAAGCAAGACCCAGTCTCTATTAAAAATAGAAAGAAATTAGCTGGACAACTAAAAATATATAGAAAAAATTAGCCGGGCATGGTGGCACATGCCTGCAGTCTCAGCTACTTGGGAGGCTGAGGCAGGAGGATCGCTTGAGCCCAGGAGGCTGAGGTTGCTGTGAGCTAGGTTGATGCCACAGTACTTTAGCCCAGGCAACAGAGCGAGACTCTACCTCAAAAAAAAAAAGGCTCAACCTTAGATCAACCGAATGAAAATCTGAATTTTAACAACATTCTCTAGCTTGTTTAATGCATATTAAAATTTGAGAAGCACCAAGTTAAATAATACTCCTATCAACAGGGAAGTTCACTTGGCAAATTCTTTAGATCCAATGAATATGTTTTTACTCTCAATCAACTTTTAAAAACTAATCTCTCCTGGCTTTTCAATTTTTATAAATTCTAATATTTGAGGACTACAGAATTTACTGAAAATGTGAATGTATAACTTAATACCTATAATCATGTATCTCTTTATTTAACTGAAAACAACATTTTTATTTATTTATTTATATTTTTATTGAGACAGGGTCTCACTCTATTGCCTAGGCTAGAGTACAGTGGCGTGATCATAGCTCACTGCAGCTTCAAACTCCTGGGCTCAAGCAATCCTCCTGGCTCAGCCTCCTAAGAAGCTGGGACTATAGGCAGCTACTACCACGCCTGGCTAATTTTTTATTTTTTGTAGAGACAGGGTCTTACTATGTTGGTCTTGAACTCCTGGCCTCAAGCAATTCCCCTACCTTGGCATCCCAAAGTGCTAGAATTACAGGCATGAACCACCACGCTCAGACTGAAAACAACATTCTTATCATTATTTTTTTCTGGTTATTTTCCATTTTATTATTTGCACCAATTTCTTTCCTTCTCCCACCAAAGACTTCATACAGAGAATAACATATCTGAAAGGATATATGAATAATGGAAACATTGGGTTCCTAGTAGTTTTTACTCATCTTTTTGTAAATGCCATATAATATACAATGAATATCAAAGTTCACATTGCAGACCCACCACTTGTAAGCTATGACTTGTGAATATGATGATATAATAGGAATCACTTCCTTGATTAGGTTACATTAAGTGGTAAAAGTGATGGATAGTCACTTCCCTGATTACATTACGCTATATAAGACTCCATCTTAGAAGACTAGAGATTTTCCTGCTGGCTTTGAAGAATTAAGTTACCCTATTGTGTGAGGAGCTGTGAGAGGACTACATGACAAGGAACTGTGGAGGCCTTAAGGGGCTGAGAGCAGCCTCTAGCTTACAGATGGCAATAAAGGCACCACAGTCCTCAACAGCAAGAAACTGATTTCTGCCAGCAACCACATGAGCTTGGAATAAAACCCCATGCTCTAGAAAGGAATACAGTCCAGCCCACACCTAAATTATAGCCATGTGAAACCTTGAGCCCAGACTTCTGAACCACAGAAACTGTCAGATAATAAATGTGTATTGTTTTAAGCTTCTAAATTGGAGGTAATATTGCCAGATGATTGCAGTCGCTAAAAAAAATAAAAAATAAAAAAAAAATAAATTGGAGGTAATAATGTTATACTAGGCAGAGCGTGGTGGCTCACGCCTGTAATCCTAGCACTCTGGGAGGTCCAAGGCAGGAGAACTGCTTGAGCTCAAGGAGTTTGAAACCAGCCTGGATACAAGCAAGAGCCTGTCTCTATTAAAAAATAAAAATAATAGTAATAATAATAATGTTACCCCAGTAGTCCCTAACTTTTTTGGCACCAGGGACCAGTTTCATGGAAGATAATTATTCCACAGACCTTGGGAAGGGGGATGGTTTGGGGATGATTCAAGCACATCACATGTATCGTGCAGTCAAACCTCTCTGCTAATGATAATCTGTATTTGCAGCTGCTCCCCAGTGCTAGCATCATTGCCTCAGCTCCACCTCAGATCATCAGGCATTAGATTCTCATAAGGAATGGGCAACCAAGATCCCTTGCATGCAGTTTTTAGTAGGGTTTGTGCTCCTATGAGAATCTAATGCTGCTGTTGATGTGACAGGAGGCAGGGTTCATGCAGTGATATGAGCAATGAGGAACTACAGTAAATACAGATGAAGCTTTGATCACTTGCTTGTCGCTCACCTCCTGCTGTGTGGCCCAGTTCCTAACAGGCCATGGACTGGTACCCGTGCTCAACTCAAGTGTTGGGGACCTCAGTGTTACACAGCATGGAAAACTAATACACCACCATAGGCCGCCAAAGATGTTTTATAAATAGCTAGCAAATGACCCTTGTGCTGTCTGCAGCCTCATACTTCATATAACTACTTCCATCACAACCCGTATTCCATTGTCTGTATTTTAGGAAATTTTTAACCTAGGAGTGTTCAATAAGTAGTATATTTCTCTGAAAACCAGTTTTCCCCCTTTAAAAAGCTATACTTACCACTGCTTCTCCTTTCTTCATGCCAAAGCACATAACCACCCCATCATGATCTCCAATAACCACCTGTAATGGTAAATCTAAAATTACTATTATTATATACCCTAGTAATTTGTATATGGAGAAAACAAGATTCTCAATACATAAATTATGACATTAAAAATAGAGATGAGAAAATCTAGAAAAGACACCCTCATAAAAGTTAAAACTCCTAAGAATAAGAGCCAAGAGAAGGCTATGGAAAGCCATTTCAAAAGTATTTGGCCACATATTTTATTCCTACAATGTTGACAGAACAAGAAAATATGGGCATAAGTGGCCCAAAGAGTAATTTTTTTTTTCTGAATTGGAGCATAAGAAGATTTTAAGATTAACTTTCTCTTTTTTTTTTTTTTTTTGAGACAGAGTCTCACTTTGTTGCCCAGGCTAAAGTGAGTGCCATGGCATCAGCCTCGCTCACAGCAACCTCAAACTCCTGGGCTCAAGCAATCCTCCTGCCTCAGCCTCCCTAGTAGCTGGGACTACAGGCATGCGCCACCATGCCCAGCTAATTTTTCTATATATATTAGTTGGCCAATTAATTTCTTTCTGTTTATAGTAGAGACGGGGTCTCGCTCTTGCTCAGGCTGGTTTCGAACTCCTGACCTCAAGCAATCCGCCCGCCTCAGCCTCCTAGAGTGCTAGGATTACAAGCATGAGCCACCTCGCCTGGCCAAGACTAACTTTAAAAACACATTATCAAATAAGGTTGTGACTGACCTAGTTGATAATTTTTAAACCTTTTCAATGAAAAAATTAATATATAAAAAGTATGCAAAATATTATAATGAATTCTCATGTATCTATCACCCAGCTTCAATTATCAACATGTGGCCAATGAATTATTTCAAAAGAAATACAGAGGGACATTTTAACATTTCTTTCTCAGAAATGGATGATTAAGCAAACAAAAGGATATACATTAGAAGAACAATTACTTTTTACCTAATATATATGCACATATGTATCTATGTGTGCATGTACATATATAGGGGTGTATATTAATAAATTAATCACCCATTCCAAGAATTAAAGTTTTCTTTTCAAGCATAGGAACATTAGAAAATTGACCATATACCATGTATTAGGACATAAAACAAGTCTCAAATATCAAAAAGGTCATATTGTACAGAGCATGTTCTCAGGCCATTGATTCTTAATTTTCTGCAGGGATCATAAACCCCTTTATGTATCTGATGAAAGCTGTGGACACTCTTCCGAGAATAATGTATATTCACAAATAATTATTTTAAGATGGAAAAAATATATAAGAATAGTTAAGGTTTTGAATTTATTGACAATATACTATTTGAATAATTTGTAAAATAATGATCTATTAACAGTGATTCCCATGGTGTGATCCCTGGACTACTTGGTGGGGGTGGGGGAAGTCAATGAGACCATTTTAGGGAATCTGCCAGTTCAAAACTATTTTTTAATCACTATAAATCTTTATTTTCCTTTTTCACTGGGATGATATTTGCAATGATGATACAGAAGCAATAGTGGGTAAAACTGCAAGTATCTGGCAAGAATCAAAACAATGATACCTAAAAACATTTTTTTAAAAGTTCAAAAAAGATGACACCACACTATACCAGTAGTCACCATAATCTTCATCTCCACTTAAGAGTAAAGAAAAAAAAAATCATTTCACTTAAAAATGTCCTTGATGCAGCAATAAATACTATTAATTTTATTTAATCAATCCAAGTACATGTCTTTTTAATATTTAGTGAAACAAAATAGGAAGTTTGCATAAAGCACTTCTGCTACATACATACCAAAACGGTCTTGAGGAAAAGCCCTTGTGTAAGAAACACCATTTTTAAGAATTAAAGAATAACTGAAAACCACTGTTATAACACTTGGATACTTCATAGACATTTTCTTAAAACTAAAAAAAGTGAACCTGTCACTTCAAAGAAAAGAAAAACAACTGACAATATTTGTTGCCAATGATAAAATTAGAGCTTCCAAATGAAAATCAGCACCTTGGAAGACTTGTATCTGACTCTGTGAGCATGACAGCTTTGAAACACTTAACTTTTCTGATGAAATCAGTAGTGATATGAACAAATGTGATTTGATATTCTACAGAATATAATAATATTCTATAACATGTCAACATTTGAAAGATATGTGTAACTCATTGAACCAACAAGTGGTCATATTAAATGACCATTATTGGATGCTATAAAATCATGTATGGGAAAAAACAGACCAACGGATTTTAATGTACAAAAATATGAAAAGTTCGTCAATATGTTTTCAGATTCCACACTGCAATTAGCGTTTAAGAAACTACCACTTATCAAGCTTACATGTAGTGTCAAATAGGCAGAGTCTTAATTATCTTGAAAAGCTATTTATTCCTCCATATTTTCAAATATCTTATCAATGTAAGCTGATTTTCTTCATATATTTCAACCAAAACAACATATCACAACAGACTAAATGCAAAAAACAGATATGAGAATCCATGTGCTTCTACTTATGCTAGACAGTAAGGAAGGTACAAAAAGAGTAACACTCTTACCTAATTCTTTTTTGTTTTAAAAAACAGTAAAAATGTGTCATTTATGTAAATGTAATGAGCTTTTTTAAAACAAAATATTCTGCTTTAATTTTAATACAGTAAATACTGATAGATATAGCCTACATAAACAAAAGTTCTTTGAAATCCTCAACAATTCAAGTGTGTTAAGGGGTCCTAAAGACCAAGAAGTTTGAGAAGTACTGATCTTGTAGACTGAATATAATAAGTGGCAATAAAGTCTTTGATTTGTTTTTATTTTTTTCACTTAATTTTTTAATCAGCAAATAATAATTGTACATATTCATGGAATACATACTGATGTTTTTTGTTTATTATTTTTTTATTTCAGCATATTACGGAGGTACAAATGTTTAGATTAAGTGTGTCATATTGATGTTTTGATACATATAACGTATAGTAATCAGATTGGGCTAAGTAAGCATATCAATCATCTCAAATATTTCTTTGTGTTATGATTGTTCAATATCCTCTTCCTAGCTATTTGAAATTATACATTATTGTTAACTATAGTCACCCTACAGTGGTACACAACATTAGAGCTTATTCTTTCTATCTAGTTGTAATTTTGTATCCTATAACAAATCTCTCCTTATCCCTTCCTTCCCTCTACTCTTGCCAGCTTCTAGTATCCTCTGTCCTACATTTTGCTTCTACAAGATCAACTTTTTTTAGCTTCCACATGAGTGAGAGAGAACATGTAGCATTTCAACTTTCTGTTCCTGACTTATTTCACCCAACATAATGTCCTCCAGTTCCATCCATGTTGCCAAAAATGACAGGATTTTTTTTTTTTTAGGGCTCAGTAGTATTTCATTGTGTATACAGACTACATTTTCTTTATCCATTTATCTGTTGTTGGACACCTAGGTTGATTCCATATCTTAGCTATTGTGAATAATGCTACAGTAAACATGGGGGTAAACATGTAAATTCTCAGTAGTGGAATTTTTGGATCATATACTATTAATAGTTCTATCTGTAGTTTTTTCAGGAATCTCTATGTTCTCCATATGGGTTATACTAGCTTATATTCCCACTAACAGTACAAAAGTGTTCCCTTTTCTCCACATCTTTGCTAGCATTTGTTATTTTTTGTCTTTTTGATAATAGCCATTCTAAGGCCAGGTGCGATGGTTCACACCTGCAATCCTACCTAGCACTCTGGGAGCCAAGGCAGGTAGATCGCTCAAGGTCAGGAGTTCAAAACCAGCCTCAGCAAGAGCGAGACCCTGTCTCTACTAAAAATAGAAAGAAATTAATTGGCCAACTAAAAATATATAGAAAAAATCAGCTGGGCATGGTGGCACATGCCTGTAGTCCCAGCTACTCGGGAGGCAGAGGCAGAAGGATTGCTCGAGCCCAGGAGTTTGATGTTGCCATGAGCTAGGCTGACACCACAGCACTCTAGCCTGGGTAACAGAGTAAGGCTCTGTCTCAAAAAAATAGCCATTCTAACTGGGGTGAGATGATACCATGATACCTCATTGTGGTGGTTTATATTTAGAAACAGGGTAGAGCACAGTGGTGTGATCACAGCTCACTACAACCTGGAACTCCTAAGCTCAAGCAATCCTCTATGCCTCAGCCTCCCAAGTCACTAGGACTACGTACATGTATCACAATCCCAAATAATTTTTTATATTTTTATTTTTTATTTTTTGTACAATTGGGGTCTCTCCATGTTGTTGACTGGACTGGTCTCAAATTCCTGGCCTCAATCAATCCTACCACCTTGGCCTTGAAAGTGCTGAGATTACCAGCATGAGCTACCATACCCAACCCTTCATTGTGGTATTGATTTTATTTCCCTGATGGTTAGTGATGTTGAGCACTTTTTCATATACTTGTTGGCCATTTGTACATCTTCTTTATATTCTGGATACTAATCCTCTGTCAAATGAGTAGTTTACAAATATTTTCTCCCATTCTGTAGATTATCTTTTCACTCTGTTGATTGTTTCCTTTGCTGTGCAGCTTTTTAGTTTGATATAATTCCATTTGTTTACTTTTTTCTTTTGCTGCCTGTTCTTTTGAGATTTTCATAAAATCTTTTCCCAGACAAATGTCCTGAATCATTTCCCCTATGTTTTCTTCTGGTAGTTTTATTGTTTCAGATCTTACCTTTCGGTCTCTCGTGCATTTTGCATTGATTTTTATATAGGGTAAGAGGTAGGAGTCTAGCTTCCCTCTTCAGCATATTCGTATCTAGTTTTCCTGTCTCTATTTATTAAAGAGACTGTCCTTTCCCCAATGAGTGTTCTTGGCAACTTTGTCAAAAATCAGTTGGCTATAGATACATGGATTAATTTCTAGGCTCTCTGTTCTGTTCCATTGGTGTGCATGTCTGTTTTTATGCTAGTATCATGGTGTTTTGGTTAGCACAGCTGTGTAGTATATTTTGAGGTCTAGTAGTACGATACTTCCAGTTTTGTTCTTTTTGTCCAGGATTGCTTTGGCTATTAGGGGTCTTTTGTGGTTTCTATATAAATTTTAGGATTTTTTTTTTCTATTTCTGTGAAGAATGTCACTGGTATTTTGATAGGGATTGCATTGAATCCATAGATTTCTTTGGGTAGTATGGTCATTTTAACAATATTAATTCTTCTAATCCATGAACATGGGACATCTTTCCATTTATTGTAGAGGTCTTTCACCTCCTTGGTTAAATTTATTCCTGGATATTTTATCTTATTTGTAACTATTTTAAAGTTTTAAAAAAGCATTTTCTCCATATCATATTGTGTTTTTTATTTCTCTTTTCCACACACACAATCTGGTAGACACAAGTACACATAGCACAATAAATTATTACCAGAAAAATAGAGTATGATTTTTAGCAAATTTGCTACACTATTTACTAACTGTATGTAATAGTATATATGTATAATTGTATGTAATAGTTTTTTTTTTTTTTTTTTTTGAGACAGAGTCTCGCTTTGTTGTCCAGGCTAGAGTGAGTGCCGTGGCGTCAGCCTAGCTCACAGCAACCTCAAACTCCTGGGCTTGAGTGATCCTTCTGCCTCAGCCTCCCGAGTAGCTGGGACTACAGGCATGCGCCACCATGCCCGATATATATCAGTTGGCCAATTAATTTCTTTCTATTTATAGTAGAGACGGGGTCTCGCTCTTGCTCAGGCTGGTTTTGAACTCCTGACCTCGAGCGATCCGCCCGCCTCGGCCTCCCAAGAGCTAGGATTACAGGCGTGAGCCACAGCGCCCGGCCTAATTGTATGTAATAGTTTTAATGTCCAAGATTATTGTCTATAAATGTCCCTTGGTATTCCAACTTCTGTTCAAATTTTTAAAAATTAATTTCTACTTTAACATTAGCACTTTTAAAAGAGTAACTTATTAATATGAACCTCTCTACTGTCAGAGCTAGGGAAAAGTAGAGCAATCAGAATCTATACAGTACCTTTTGTGTAGCTTTATGTTTTGAGGCAGGAAGTAGCTTCATAGTCTTCTGAGAGGTCACTCCCACCTAAGGAAAAACATCAGCCACCTAGTGAATTTAATTTGAAGTTATTATATTAGAGATTAAAAGTATCAATAGATTCAGGTCATTGTGAGCTTTTATTTTTTTTACTGAAATTAGCAATATAACTATTAATATCAGTGATGAAGTTTAAAACAAATTGTTTTTTAGAGATGGGGTCTCACTACGTCACTCAGGCTGGTCTCAAACTCCTGGCCTCAAGCAATCCTCCCACCTCAGCTTCCCATGGCGCTGGGATTATAAAAGTGAGCCATAGTATCCAAACTATGAACTTATTTTCTAATGAAATATGTCATAAAAGTCAGAAAGCATATAGGAAACAAACAAAACAGTAATTTATCCTATAAAGTTGTCACGCCAAAAATAATTGTGTGACATTACCAGTAAGGAATGTTATGAAAAAAATATTTCTAGAAGCTTTTTTTCTATCTTCATTCAGTTGTTTTCTAAAGTGATTAAAAATCTTTGGAAATAGGTTATAGTTATTAAAAATGCAACGTAGAAGATTTCTGCTAAAATACCAAATATGATGGCGAAGCATGTTGGCTCATACTTATAATCCCAGCACTTTGAGAGGCCAAGACAGGAGGATCACTGGAGGCCAGGAGTTCAAGACCATCTTGGGCAACATAGCGAGACCCCAACTCTACAAAAAAATTTAAAAACATGGTGGCGTATGCCTGTAGTCCCAGCTACTTGGGAGTCCAAGGCAGGAGGATTACTTGAGTCCAGGAATTCAAGGTAACAGTGAGCTGTGATTGTGTCACTGCACTCCAGCCTAGGCAACAAAGCAAAAACCCTGTCTCCAAAATAAATAAAATACCAAACATGCTGATGTCAGTAACATCCTATCTAACTGATGGTTTAAATTATTTTACAAAAGGTAGAGAATGAAAACAACATGGCTTATTTGGCAGGGAACTGTCACTGTTAGGGGAGGAGAATAGGACTAATAGGAGAGAAGCTGGAGAAAACAACACAACATGAAAGAACTTGCATGTAGTATAGACATACGATTTTATTCTGCATTCCACGTAGTATTAAAGTTTAAAGTAATCTATCTAGATTTGTATTTTTGAAACATCAATCTAGCAAGAGATGTGAAGGATGGCTTGGAGAGATGAAGTGGAGGCTAGAAGCCCAAATAGGAAGCTATTTCAATTATTCAAGCAAGGGAAGATGATAATTCAAACTGAGGGTAACAGAGGAAAACGATACAAATTCAAGAGATATTCAGGAGATAAAAGCAGCAGGATGTGATGACCAGTTGGATATGGAAGATATTAAGGTGGGAAATACCTAGCATCATCCCTGGAAAATTGGGCAAACATTTGTACCATCAGCTAAAATGGGATAGCTGAAAAAGGAAGAGACGGGGAATTGGGAGAGAGACAATTCTAGGGCTGAAAGAACTCTTGAAGGCAGTGTGGTATGACAGAAAAGAACACCAGCTCCAGAGCCTGAGACTTTGATTCAAATAGCAACTCCATAATTTTTAGCAATTAAGCAAACTATTTATCTTCTCTAAGCCCTTGGATCCTCACTTCTAATATTGACTACTTTGAAAATTCTTAAAAGGATTAAACAATTATGTGTGCTAAGCTCTCAGAACTAACTAGAGGCACAATAAACGGTTGGCATTGCTTTTATTATGATCTGACTGACGTGGTCCGGCTCACAGCAAGAAAACAAGTATCTGGCGCTCGGGAGAAGGGACCGGGTAGAGACGGAGATTCAGGAGATGGGAGCAGGCAGGGAGCGGGCGGGAAGGGCCGGGGGGAGGAATTCCGGATCAGACCGCGTCAGGACGCGGGGAGCATCCCCAGGAGCCGGCCCGCGCTCGCACGGCGCGAGCTTGTGCCGCCTCTTTCCCAGTCCCAGCGGACCGTCACAGACGAGGCGGAGCTGCCAGCGATGAGGGGAGCCGGGAGGGCAGCACCCAGCCCAGCTCCCGGCGACCCCGCTTTACGTCAGTGGAAGGAACGAATCCTCTCAGGGAACGGGACTCGCCCAGCGCAGCGCCCGCCTCATCCCTTCGGTTTACCTGTAAATAATCCGCTCGGTTTAAAACCAGCTCCATGACGACTGCAAGGACGCGCCAGGGAGCACCAGGCAGGAAAAAAGGCGGGTTAAGAGAGACTGCTGGCGTCTAGGCCTAGGACCCCGCCGCCACAGGCCGCTCACGCCCCCTCTGAGGGATAAACCCGGCGTCTCCGCGGGGGTTGCACAAGCTGGGCGTCAGGGCAGCGGCGTTTTGCGTGACGTCAGTACGCTCATGCGACTGGCTCCCGCAACGAAGATGAAGCCCCGCCCCTTCCCCGGCGCACCGCCCACTGACAGCCTGCTCCAATCAGAGGCGGAGAAGAACGAAGGACAAGGTCCGGAAAACCGGGGCTGGGCGGTTTCCACAGAGACAGGAGATGCCCTCTTGGCTTCCTCCTCACTCTGGCACTGAGGTGACCCTAGGCGTCTTTCTCCCTGTGCGTAGAGAGCGTTAAAGTGAAGCCCTGAAAGATTCTGACCTCTTTCACTCTGGCAATGGAAAGGGACGTGCAAAGAATTAAGTTCCACTGTAATAAGCGTTACAAAACTCTTAAAAATACTATTGAAGACCCCAAAGACCATTTGCTTGTGTAAGTGATCTACTGATTATTTGCCATATTAGACATTAGAGCTGAAAAAATTTAATTTATTTAAAAAATAAACCCATGACATAAATATCTTAATGAAAAAATAACTATATTTTCCAAAATAATAAAATGAAACTACTGGCATTGTGTGCAAATCTATTTTCTGTCCACCTTAATGGACAGTGGGAGTCCCAGGTCTGCTTCTGCATTCCATCTATTGCTGTATGTTGTTTTTGTTTAAGTATATGAAGAAAATTTGTTCCAAACTCAACAAGTGGTAGTGTTTTGAAAGGTTAGTTGCAATGCAGGATGTGACTTCATTATATAATGTCCCCCCCCATCCTATCAATATCACCATGGAGATAAAAAGTCAAGTATTGAGAAGCTATCGAATTCAGATGGTAAACACACATTTTCCAAAATTCTAATTTGTACTTGAAATTTAAGCATTGGTAACAAATATCAGTTGTGTTCCTTGAACTGAGGTTTCCTTCCTTGAATTCACAAGAAAATGTATGCCAGATATTCAAGTCTGAATAATCATGATGTCAGTAGTGCCCTCAAATAAAAATAGTGTTCCATGAAAAAAGCAGCAAGTTCAGCTAGCAACTTAATCACACAAATGCTTTTTCCGTGAGACAACTAGTGGATTTCAATATTCAGTAGAAGGTGTTTTATACATACTTCCCATGTCATCTCTCATAATATTAAAAAAGACATGTGCTTAGGAGTTGAGACAAATTAACAATTTTCACTGCTTCATAAAGGACATTTTTATATAAAATGTCAGTGCATGGCATGTAGAATATGGTGACTACTAGTTGTACAGTTTGGAGCCACTGCTTTGGTTTATGCTTAAGCATCAGCAATATTAACCACCATTGCTTTTGTACCATCAGTGCAAATGTCAACACAGTGAAAAGGCAAATAATATCTTAGTGTTATGAAAATAGTTTTAAAATTGCAGACAGCTCTGAAATGGCCCCAGAGACCCACAGACTACTGCTGGCCCATAGTAAACCAAAATCTAACTGCTAGCCTGTAGTAAACCAAGGTCTAACTGAGAGATGACATTCCTTGACTCACTTTCATCAGTTCTTCCTTCGTGCACACAGTGCTCTGCCTATAGAAATACAGATGAGTAAGATATAGCTGCTTTTCTGATTTTTGTGATCTTCTAGAAGAGAGATTGCAAATGATTGTCAAACAAGAAGAATTGAACTCTGGCCGGGCGCTGTGGCTCACGCCTGTAATCCTAGCTCTTGGGAGGCCGAGGCGGGCGGATTGCTCAAGGTCAGGAGTTCAAAACCAGCCTGAGCAAGAGCGAGACCCCGTCTCTACTATAAATAGAAAGAAATTAATTGGCCAACTGATATATATATATAAAATTAGCCGGGCATAGTGGCGCATGCCTGTAGTCCCAGCTACTCGGGAGGCTGAGGCAGAAGGATCACTCGAGCCCAGGAGTTTGAGGTTGCTGTGAGCTAGGCTGACGCCACGGCACTCACTCTAGCCTGGACAACAAAGCGAGACTCTGTCTCAAAAAAAAAAAAAAAAAAAAGAAGAATTGAACTCTTGAGAAGAGGTGCTTCTTAGGCAAATAAATTATCCTGCAGAGGTATCTGACAAGGTTTTCCCTAGGTCCCCAAATATTCCAGATAATTCTGTCTCTGATGCTAAAATAACACCATATTAAAATAGACAATACATGAAGATGGGTTAGCTATTTAGCAATATGGGAAAAATAGACAATATATGAAGATGGGTTAGCTATTTAGCCATATGGGGAAAATACATCAATTTAGACTCAAGAGAAAAATAGAGATAAATTTTAGAAATAAACTAAAAAATAAAGCCATAGAGGAGATAGGAGAAAAGAGAATTGTATAGAATTTTATAGAATTTTGTAGGGTGGAAGATATATTATTAGATTGCTATAAATAAGTACCATAAACTGGGTGGCTTAAACATCAGAAATTTATTTTCTCACACTCCTGGAGGCTATAAGTCAGAGGTCAAGGTGTCACCAGGGAACCAAACCAATCTTCCAAGTCCTCTCTCTTTGGCTTATAGATGGTCATCTTCTCCCTGTGTCTTCTCAAGGTCTTCTCTATGTCTGTCTGCGTCTCATCTTCTCTTCTTGCAAGGATGCCAGTCATATTCAATTAGGGCTCACCCTACTGACCTCATTTTATCCTAATTGCCTCTTTAAGGACATTATCTCCAACTACAGTCACAGTCTAATATACTGGGAGTAAAGAGTTCAACATATTTGAGTGGATAGAATTCCACCCCTACCAGAAGGAAACTGTCTGATCTCAAAAGGAATAGAAGAAATTATAAAGAAAAAAAACAGATATGAAAAGTAAAGATAAAACATTTCAATGTGTCACAAAAATTTTTAAGTATAAATGAAAATTTGAGAAAAATATATGCAAAGATTTAATATCTTTATAGTTTATAAAAACAATTCACAAAGAAGGTGGCTACTGCACAAACATACAGAAATCTATTACTTTCACTTTTGATCAATAATATTAAAACAAGGTACCTTTTTATTTTATTTTGTCTTTCAAATTAGAAAAAAATATTTACTTGGTAACATTATATACTGTAAAGGAAGAATATGCTCATCCACTGTGATGTTTTTAAGTAGTAATAAAACACATTTCAAAAACCAGGGGTAAAAACCTGGGGCCTTAAGGCCACATGTGGCCTTCTAGGTCCTTAAGTGCAGCCTTTTGACTGAATCCAAATTTTACAGAACAAATTCTTTTACTTTTATTAATACATTTGTGTTTGTGTTTTATATTTTTATTTTATTTGTAAAATAAGCATATTTAAAATACCAAAGAATAAAATACATTTCAATGAAATAACCCTCCCTGATTGACCAGCACAATTAAAACATTAGTAAAGGCCGGGCGTGGTGGCTCACGCCTGTAATCCTAGCACTCTGGGAGGCCGAGGCGGGCGGATTGCTCGAGGTCAGGAGTTCGAAACCAGCCTGAGCAAGAGCGAGACCCCGTCTCTACTATAAATAGAAAGAAATTAATTGGCCAACTAATATATATAGAAAAAATTAGCTGGGCATGGTGGTGCATGCCTGTAGTCCCAGCTACTCGGGAGGCTGAGGCAGAAAGATTGCTTGAGCCCAGGAGTTTGAGGTTGCTGTGAGCTAGGCTGACGCCACGGCACTCACTCTAGCCTGGGCAACAAAGTGAGACTCTGTCTCAAAAAAAAAAAAAACATTAGTAAGGACTGAAGTGACGACTGCTACACTCATGATTTACTTCTAACTTTCCCCTCTTGACTAGCGCCATTATTGTATGAGGCCGGTTGGCAGAGTTTATGGGGGTCAGGTAGGCCTGTCCATTATCAGCTTTTGACAACAGTGCACTGTGTTTCTGTTTGAAGTGGGATTTGTGAATAGTTGCACAGCTCAACAGTATTTTTTAATTCTGTCTGCTTAACAGCCCATCAACATGTCAAAGAAGACCAGGAGAATGCTGAAGGAAGAAAAACAGATTTTTTAATGAAGATTGAGAATTGCAATATTAGCTTGTTTTTACTAAAGATAAGATAATGTACTTGCTTTGTGATACTGCAATATCAACATTAAACAAATTCAATGCTCTTCAGCATTATAACACTCAAACAGACTACAAATATTTTAACTTATAGAGGGAGAGGCACATAAGGTTGTGTTGCAGAAATTAAAAGATGAAAAGCAAAAGCAAATACAATTCTTTCAAGCAGCAATAAGACCTGGAAATAATGCCACTAATGCTATTTATAAAGTAGTTTATATGCTCAGGGAAAAGGGAGGCCATTCAGTGATGTAGAAATTGTGAAAGAATGTATTGTCAAAGCTATAGGATGCTTAGACCTCAATAACATTTCCAAGTACAAACAACTGCCTCTTTCAAGGAGACCCATAAGAAGAGTTACTTGCTTTGGGCACTCTTGCCAACAGAAAACAGGGAATCATCAACAACTTTCAAGATAAATGTCTTGAAGTTGGACTGAATTTGGTAAATTTAGTAAGTGTTCGTACAGACAGTGTACCTTCCATGACAGGAAAACATGAAGGGTTTATTGCATAGATTCAAAAAGTATTGACAGATCCAGCTGGTCTCATTTCTTTTCATTGTATCTTGTATCAGCAAACTCTCTGTGCTAAAGCTATTATTTTAAGTGACACTTTGCAACAAGTTATAAGTATTGTTCACTATATTCATGCAAATGCAACATGGCATTATCAGTTTTATAACATGCTAAAGTTGAACAATGAGGTATTCAGCGTGGACTTATCATTCTATAGTGTATTGGCTATCACAGGGACAGGTGTTAGCCAAATTTTATCTGTGACAGAAGAGATAGTTAAATTTTATGAAGAACAGAATTAGCAGTGTGAATTGTTGAAAGAAGAATTCTACAGGAATGTAGCATTTCTGTGTGATATCATGTCAAATCAAAATGACTTGAATATTTCTTTGCAACATAAAACTTAGTCTATCTATGATATGTGGCAAAAAATCCAGCATTTGGAAAAAAGCTATCTTTTTTCAAAACACTTCTTCAAAAGAAAATTTTG